TGCGTAACAAGTTGTTAATCTCTCTTTAAACATTGGGTTACTCACACCCGGTTTCTGAAAAGCATGTCAAATATTGAATTAGTTAAAAAACTGTCATAATTAACAATTTGTTAAGCAACTGTGGGTTTCTGAAAAGATATTTACCGAAAAATTAACGAATCTACTGTTAAGACAGAATTTATTTATTAGTCCGGCCAGCCTAGCTAAAACCAGTCACTTTCATTCGATCATTCATGTTTTGTTTCTGTCTAACGCATAGCTTTGTCTCTATCTTTTGACAACTTATAAGTGACTTTTATTTAGAAGTCAGAAAAATAGAAGCAATTGTGTGTACCGAAAACATTGAAATTTATTTTCATTTGTAAAATTTTCACATAATATGTCACGAAAAAACTATACGGAGCGAGAAAAGAGGGAGCTTTTAACAATAGTGGATAAGTAAGTACCTAATAGGTACAAATCAGTTGTTCAAATCAAGCTTTCTAATCTATACAAAGAAACCGATCTGCTTTTGGCATTTAATAATATATATTTAAATGTAGGTACAAAGCAATAATAGAAAATAAGTCTACCAATGCAGTGACGGTGGAAAAAAAACGTGACTTGGAAAAAGAGATTTGACATTTGCAACAACAAATCATTGACAAACTGTCACTTTGCTCATTGAGAAACCCAATGTGCATTTAAATAGAGATTAACAACTTGTTACGTAATTTTTTCAATGGCATGCGTTTCAGAAACCTGTTGTCAATGAGCAAAGTGACAGTTTGTCAATGATTTGTTGTTGCAAATGTCAAATCTCGAATTAATGGCCGATTGCGGTAGTTTTTGGTTTCCGGAAAGCTTTTTTGTATGTTAACTGCATGTTAACGTTTTGTTGTGTTTTAATAAGTAATTGGTGAAAATTGATCAATTAACAGACTGTCAAAAGAAATTTTACTGATATTTTGGTCAGAGGATTGTTGTAGTGGCAGTAAAAAATGTTGTCAGATATCTGCTGACGATATATCCCTATCTAGTGACGAGGAAGATCTGGCACCAACTCGCCAGTTCCGGAAACGAATGAATCCTGTAATTCATTACAATGATGAAGAATTTAAGGATCGCTACAGGAATTCAAAATCTGTTTTCCATCAACTGATGGGAAAACTGACACACCTGGAACTTAAAACGAACAATTATTATACACTAAAGCCTTCCTAGAATTATGGCTAACCCAACATAAAAAGAATATTTCAATTCAGTTCAGCAGTTCCTGATGTTAACGTGTTCAAACAAAAAAACAAACATATATTGTAGTTTATATCAGATTTACACTATAATTATTTTAATTTTTATTTGCTTTAGAAGTAAATTCCAATTCTTTAATTTTTATTTCTAAATTCTTCTATTTTTTTCCAAGTCACGTTTTTTTACCACCGTCACTGCATTGGTAGACTTATTTTCTATTATTGCTTTGTACCTACATTGATATATATATTATCAATATATTTTCAAATTTTAAATGCCAAAAGCAGATCGGTTTCTTAGTATAGATTAGAAAGCTTGATTTGAACAACTGATTTGTCTAGTAAACTTTTCTTTAGATTTAAACATCTAGCAGTTAAATGCTTAAAAAATAAATAAAATCATAACTGATTTGTACCTATTACGTACTTACTTATCCACTATTGTTAAAAGCTCCCTCTTTTCTCGCTCCGTATAGTTTTTTCGTGACATATTATGTGAAAACTTTACAAATGAAAATAAATTTCAATGTTTTCGGTACACACAATTGCTTCTATTTTTCTGACTTCTAAATAATAGTCACTTATAAGTTGTCAAAAGATAGAGACAAAGCTATGCGTTAGACAGAAACAAAACATGAATGATCGAATGAAAGTGACTGGTTTTAGCTAGGGTGGCCGGACTAATAAATAAATCCTGTCTTAACAGTAGATTCGTTAATTTTTCGGTAAATATCTTTTCAGAAACCCACAGTTGCTTAACAAATTGTTAATTATGACAGTTTGTTAACTAATTCAATATTTGACATGCTTTTCAGAAACCGGGTGTTAGTCAGCTGAGTTGACAGGTTGACCAGGAGGTTGGTCACAGCTGTCATTTGTTTAAACATTTTCATCAGTTGTTGTCTAATTTTGTGATAATAATGGGGTATCATCTTACGGAGGGGGGTTGTTTAGTTTTAAAAGTTTTCTTTGCGTTGCCTACTACACTTGTGTAGCTTATTGTTGGTTTCCGTGCATTTGGAAACTTTTGACTGAATAAACCTTTGCATTCTATGCAGCCTTTGTAATTTGCAGGCAGGGTGGTTTATTTCACAGAGTGCACATTTGACTGAGTCCGATCGCTCTGTATGAGAACACAAAGCCGTATTGTGAGTTTCAGCACATTTAATGCATTTGGGTTTACATCTACAATATGCTTTAGTATGGCCATATTGTTGACAGTTGGCACATTGAGGAATTCCACGAGTTGGATGTGGTGGCTCTATTGTAACTGCTTGAGCTAGAAGCACTTTAATTCGTATTTTTTTTTACGTGCGCGTTAGTTTTTGGTGACTCTGTTTCAGGTTCCAAACATTCATTACATTGTGATCGTTTTTGCTAACGGCCATTTTAATTTCTTCTTAGCCTGTAGAAGAGTGCATATTTTAACATCATTTTGTAATATCTTTCTTGCTTAGGTTTGTAAGTGTACAGTATTTTTCATTTCAAGATTATTTACAAGTTTTTATAAGCATCAGGCTAAAGTATCATCATCTGGTAGGTTTCCAAAGGAGTTGGAAGTTGATATCGGTTGGCTAAGCCAATATGTGCTGCTGGTTTCAGTTTATCATGTTTGTCGCTGTTTGTGTTTGTTTGTCGCGAAGTTCTGTTATAGCGCCGAAGGCTCGCTTTTACCCTACAGTCCTTCGTCGGCAGTTTTACGACGGCGAGGACGAGTATGGATAAGACTTGACGGTGCACGTCTGATAGCCCAGCTACACACGCCAGGGCGTGCGTTACGGCATACTCAACTTTTTGTAAAAGCGTTTCCTGGCAGAAAACTCAGCCCACTGAGACCAAACACCAAAAGATATGTGTGCCAAGTTTTATCCAAATTCGTTCAGCTGCTTTCCGATTTGATCAAGCCTCGCAATAAAATACTCCCCAGTAAAGTTTACTAATAGTTTAGTTTAGGTCATGGCCCAATCTCCCTATTCCATCCATAGGGAAGGCTTGTGCCCCTGCAGTGGGGACAATAATAGGTTGATGATAATGATGATGAAAGTTTACTACCCCTTTTCACCCTGTTAGCGGCATTTTCAAAGAACCCGAGCTCGAGCTACCTTCGGTAGTGTTTCGAAGGTAGCTAGACAAAGTAAATAAAAAATTATTATTCTGACGATACAGACCTGAAAATGCTGCAAAACGTCAATAAATAAAGATTAACCCGTTAAAACTAGTTTTGTTTAATGAGTGATGTGCGTGAAAACCTCAGAAACAAATATAAATACTGAGTTTAAAGTTAATGAAATGCACATTAAAAAATCCATCCATATAAAAACTTTCAACACAATTCCTAATCCCCTTTTAAGAGATTAGTTAAGAAAAACTTAAAATAATAAACTTCATAATTTATTCAGATAAGTATTTGTGCCAAATTTAAAGTCTATTAACACAAGGAATAAGATTTTTCATACAAACTTTCATCTTCTTTTTGCCCTCTTAGGAGTAATTTTGAAAAAAACCTTATACATGTTATTCTTTATTTCTGGACTTTAGTAAAAATACCAAGTAACAATAAAATGTGTGTTAAATTTATCCATATAAAAACGACACCAATGACCCGATCCTCAATGGGATGGATTGCGAAATAAAAAATTACAAACTTCATAATTTATTTAGTATTTCCACTTTTCAAGTCTATTAACTCAAGGAATAAGGTTTTTCATAGAAACTTTCATCCCCTATTATAAACCCTTCAGGGAAGAAAGTTGATTTTTTTTAACACACCCTAAAACCTCATAAGGTAGGCTCAGCAGTTTAGTCTGAGCGTTGATATGTCAGTCAGTCACTCAATCACTTCCTTCTTTTATATATTTAGATTACATGAAATTATAGAATATATAAAATAGAATGCCCAATATCCAGCTGTGTGAACCTAGCACCCGACTGTGGAAAATCTATTTTTTTCTTAACGATTCTTAAAGACTTTCGTATGTAGTTGATTGTAGTAAAAATTTTTTCGTTTGTAGTTGCTTCAAAAAAAAGTTATGGGACTTCGAAAAATCGTTAGCACCCCAATTCGGCCAAACTAAAATTTTTTGATTAACTTTTTTTTGAAGCAACTACAAACGAAAATTCTTTCACTACAATTAACTATAAACGATTCTCGATGAGAATCAATCAGAAAAATTGGGTACGGTTGAAACGGGATTATACGGATTTTTTAAAGTCCCATAACTTTTTTTTAAGCAACTATAAACGAAAATTCTTTCACTACAATCAACTATAAACAATTCTCGATACCAATCAATCAAAAAATTTGAGTTTGGCCGAATGGGGGTGCTAACAATTTTTCGAAGTCCCATAACTTTATTTTGAAGCAACTACAAACGAAATAGTATTTACTATAATCAACTACATACGAAACTCTTCAAGAATCGTTAAGAAAAAATTAGATTTTCCAAAGTCGGGTGCTAGGTTCACACAGCTCCAATATCCTCCCAAGTGTTGGGCCCTATCGCAAATGAAGTCTTCCTAAACACTAATTTTATTTGTATGGCAGTAGTTTTCTATCTTGTACAAATCAAAAGATATGAGCAAAGCTAAACAACAAAGTACCTATTAAAAAAAACGACATAAAATCTGCCATTAGGTCTTTCTAGTAACAAAATTCCTTGTAAAAAATGTAAACAAAATACATTTAAAATATGATTACTGACAATTAATACAACATGTCCGTAGCAGTCAAAATGGGCATTGTCCTTTGAATGACATAAATAAATATCTCACCTGAACATGAGCCAATAAGGATTTTTTGAAACAATCCTTTGAATGTCATTACTGGAGAATTTTTTTGACTGTAGATAGTTGATTCTGACATTTAAGTCTTCAAGTGATTCATACAGTATTAGCGGATTTTTTGTTATGAATGTTCCAATTTCATCCACATTCACATAATCTTTTATAAATAGAATAAAATTTTCTATATTTCCACAGCTGAGCTTCAGTATTTTCTCTACTAATTGTGGCTTTTTTTCTATTTTACTTAAATTTACATCTAGATGAAGAAGATTTTGCAAAGTTTCAGAATTATTGATGTATGAGGCCAAGTTAAATGTTTTTGGAAAATACGTTGTGAAAGTCGATAAATCTTCATTAGTTTGTTCCAAACAGCTGCTATGAGAGGAATTTTCTACAGCCGTTTTTGATAAGACATCTACTTTCTGTGAAAATGAAACTAAAGATTTGTTAAAGCATGAGACAAATCTTGAAGAACTTGTAGAAAATAACTTAACTAACGACATTTTAATCACGAAGAGTTCCGATTTATTTTATAGGTGAAGCGGAGCAGAATTACATTTCATCACCATATCATTTCACTTAATTTCACAGATTTTCATCACTGGTTCGTCCATTGCATCACTGCACAGACCACAAAACAATATTACTCTAGGCACAGACTATTTAGATACTACGTACATCACTGTCACTGAGAAACAGTGTTGCCACTGCCTCTCGCTAAAATTACACACATGACCTTTAGTCCAGTCGGAATAGCCATAATTTGGACCGACTTCTATTCTAAGACACCAGCGCTTAGCCAATTTTTTCCTAGGTAGTATAGACCCCCACGAATATGCCCTCCATTTGTCCCCGCTAGAACCCGTGTTTTGTAGCCAGGAAAATTGTTTAAACAAAGAAAAACCGTTTTTTTTTTTGAGTTTTTTTGCTTGTAAACGGGGATTTTGAAAATTTTTTTGAATCAAAGTTGTTCATTAGCTTGCCCTCTACAAAATCAGTTCTATGAAAAAATAACGTGAGATTGTTAGTTTAGCAGTAAATTGCAATTATGTCGGTTTTACGTTTGCAACAATTCAACATGTTATAATATACATTTTGATTTCTAAAGTAGTTTATCATGTGGGTAACGCCACTCCCAAGAGAGTCATGTAAAATTTATCGACCTGTGTCGCAAACTTTAGCAACAATTCTCAATCTCCGAAAAAAAAGTACTTGCCTGTCCCGTCTTTCCCAGAAGGCGCACAGCGGGAAAAAAAATTCAGGTGATTCGATTCACCAAGAATTTTGAGGAATCGATCGAGTAGAAAAAAATCGTTAATAAAAATGTTCGTTTTTGGACGATTTAAAATTTTTTTAAAAATTGACGTAGAATAATTTTTTTTTAAACTAATGTATTTTTCTCTCCTCAACTCGAATATACTATTCTGAATTTATATATATAATATATATATATATATATATATATATATATATATATATATATATATATATATATATATATGTAATATATATATAATACTAATATACCCTGAGAATTCCGATTATGAACCGGAAGAAAAAAGGACGAAATTAATTTAATTAGAAATATAGAATACAACGCAGTCTTGTAATCGAATTTTAGTTAATAGTTTTGTAAATAATTTTTGTACATAAATAAACTGATTTTTTTTAATTTTCAATCGTATATTCGAGTTGAGGAGAGAAAAATACATTAGTTTCAAAAACAAAAAAATCTACGTCAATTTTTAAAAAAAATTTAAATCGTCCAAAAACGAACATTTTTACTAACGATTTTTTTCTACTCGATCGATTCCTCAAAATTCTTGGTGAATCGAATCACCTGAATTTTTTTCCCCGCTGTGCGCCTTCTGAATTTTACATGACTCTCTTGGGAGTGGAGTTACCCACATGATAAACTACTTTAGAAATCAAAATGTTTATTATAACATGTTGAATTGTTGCAAACGTAAAACCGACATAATTGCAATTTACTGCTAAACTAACAATCTCACGTTATTTTTTCATAGAACTGATTTTGTAGAGGGCAAGCTAATGAACAACTTTGATTCAAAAAAATTTTCAAAATCCCCGTTTACAAGCAAAAAAACTCAAAAAAAAACGGTTTTTCTTTATTTAAACAATTTTCCTGGCTACAAAACACGGGTTCTAGCGGGGACAAATGGAGGGCATATTCGTGGGGGTCTATACTATCTAGGAAAAAATTGGCTAAGCGCTGGTGTCTTAGAATAGGTCTCATGTTTATTCCGACTGGACTACTTGATTACACACACACAATTTCCAAACTGAATTCTTACGCATATAGTGGCGTCGATTCTGGCGTGATTCTCTAAACTTATAACTAAATTTAACATCAGTCTCTCCTTTTCATTCTGTACAGAGAATGACAAGGATACACTGTTGTCAAATTTAGTTTTAGGTTTAGACAAACATGCCAGAATCGACACCAGTGCATCAATTGAAAAAAAAAAGCTTATTTTAGAATATCAATGGTGCCAATTCTGGCGTGATTCTCTAAACTTAAATCTAAATTTAACATCAGTCTCTCCTTTTCATGCTGTATAGAGAATAACAAGGATACACTGTTGTCAAATTTAAGTTTAGGTTTAGAGAATCATGTCAGAATTGATACCAATGTTCTCTTTACCGAGATCTGTTTTCTACGAAAACGCGATATGTTTTACGTTTACACCGTGAATTTTGAGTTACCTGAGAAACTTAAAAATCGTGGGAACAGTTATTAACAGTAAACGTACTACTCCCCCATACAAACATATTCGTCTATGTGGTTTACAAAATATACTAAAACGGCGTCGCAAATAACATACAGTAAAATAACGACACGTTCTTAAGTTTCTGCCTTTACAATGGCGGGATTTGGAGGAGCTCGCTCGCTTGCTTCATGCCGGCACTTCACTTGGCTATTCGTATATGCATTTGTAAACTTGTCAACAGTTTGTCCTTGGTAGCTTTCCAATTACAGCATTATAGCGCATTATGCGGCATAATGCTTAACGTTGAGTGTTCCAACTACAGCAACGCTTCGCACAATTGAACACTCTCAAAAGTAATGCTTTCGTGTGATGCGTGCAATCGTACCAACTCAGAGACAGAAAATTAACAAGTGTTTTTTCTTTAAGTTGACATTGATCGAAATGTTTTATTTATATGTTATCGTTAGTAATATTATTTATTGTTGATAAATTATTAAAGCTTTCGTTTAATTAAATAGTTTTTTTTAAATAATCAAAGTTCATTCAAACTGTTAAAAAAACTGTGTTAGAAATTAAATATAAATATGGACTTGGTGAATTAGTTTTCAAATGCACCAGCAGAGTGTGCTGGTGCATTTGAAAACTAATTCACGTTCCAATTAAGCATCAGCATAATTCGGCATTGTGCGGCACTGAGTCGCATTATGCTCTGTAATTGGAAAGCAACCAAACACAACAACAACAAACAGAAACAATGTATGCAAAGGGCGAAGTTAGGATAGTTTATGTACTTCCATAACGGACGAGCCCGTTCAACTTCACAAAGGAACGAGGTGTCCGTGATGCTAGCGTACCCACGATCAATATACGGTTTTTCGTTATGTCATTAAATAGTGCCAAATTAATGTAAAAATAATAAAAATAGTGCCTCTTTAATTTAAGAAATAAATACCATTTTTACTGTGTACGCTACCATGATGTCAAGCTAGCGTACCCATGGCCGACCCCAAGAACGGCATATATTTAAGCAACGAAATTGACACACAAAAATAGTTCGCAAATAGTGCCCTGGCTTTACAAAATTTCATAATCAATACTATTAAAGGACCAAAGATATTGAACTAAACATTCTTAGCTGGCGTCCATCTGGCGTGCCCATAATAGTTCTCATAGAAAATGAACTTTTCTCGTTATCAATTCTATATGTATAAATAGTGTGTCAAATAGTGCCTCTAACAGTAAAAGTATTTTATGTGAATCCGCATCACGACAATACATAAAGAGGGTGTTAAATTCTAGGAACAAATGTATTGTAGTACAGTTACACACAAAATTAATTTATGCATTAATTTATGTCCTTTAAGAGTATTGATTATGAAATTTTGTAAAGTCAGGGCACTATTTGCGAACTATTTTTGTGTGTCAATTTTGTTACTTAAGAGCCCTTTCACATTTTTTGCAATAAATCGCAATTTTTGAGCGCCTCGTTTGCCCCCTTAGAAGAGGTTTTGACTACTTCCAATAGAAGTAAACAGTAAATTTATTCTTCTTATTGAAAATTAATGTAGAATATTTGCAAATACTATTTTCATTTTTTTGTACTGATCGTTCTACTGCAGCTAGTTTACGGAAAAAACGATAATATGAACACCTTAAAACGCCTAAATCTCATAATAATGTTCAATAAATTAGATCAAATTAATTACTACTACATCAGAAATATGTTTTTGTTGCAACATAATGTATTAGAATCTTGATTTTCCATCTCATTAATTATTAAAAAAACATCTCACCTCTGTGAGTTGCCCCAAAAAATAACGCAGATTTACCTCGTATTTTGATATTGAATTAAATAGAATTACTATAAAAAACTGTCATAAAACTAATCTACAATCATTGAACTATTGAAATATGTATATATTTTTATAATAAGTTCATTAATTATTATTTTATAAGACTCTGAACATCACCCGTAAAATGCAATATATACTAGTGCAAATCTAGGCGCCGTTCAGTACGACGCCAGCGCCTTTGGAGATCGGACCTGTGTCGCTTTGTACCTCACGCGTCCCGAGCGATGCTACGAGTGCATTCATCGTAAAACTGGCTGGATATACTACGACCGCAAAACTTTAATCGTTGACTGTATGTAAGTTTCCACAACCGTATTAATTTTTATTATAATAAGTACCTCCCTAGTTATTAATTATAGTTGCTTCAACTAAAATTTTTGTTATTAGCTTTTACAATGGGGCGTAAAATTTCTGCTTACCATTGTGTCAAAAAAAGAAAACGAAAGAATGATGCAGCCATAAAGAAAGCTTGTGAAGCAAGGTGAATATGCTTATAACATTTCGCTTTATTTTTAAAGCCTTTAAAATGCCATTAATTGATAAAAAAACATGTTATGAAAGTTATTCTTCATTAAATTTCCTACAAGTTTTGCATAAATCTTTTTTTTACTAAATAAATACTTTTATAATGCTATTCAAATAAGAATAGTAAAGCCTATGACCTCCATCTGTCAAATGTCGCTTGAAAAGTACAGTTTGCAAAAAAAACTTGGAATACTTTTTTAGCACTCAGCTAATTCTAAAATAAAAATCAAACATTTTTAAACAAACAATAACAAATATTGATAGTTAATATTGGTTGATATTTTTTTTCATTTATTGAGCTTTGGCTATGAATGGTTGATAACCTAAATCGTCAACTAAATGTCACTTTATGTTCCGTTCAGAAACTCGATTTAATACTTTCGTTTACATATAGGATGCATGTTCGTATGTGACCTGCATGATTATTCATAACTACTTACTCCGGTGGTAATGCAGAGATGAGCGGAATTGAAGAGCTAGATTCTAATTTATGTTTTTGCTCACACAGTCTTAATAAAGTATTATTAATAATCGGTTGTGTTTTCTCTCAATCTTAGTAAATTAATTTTATTAAAAAAATCTGATGTTTTTTCTCACTTAATCTAAGTAAATAAGTTTGATTAAGTAGAATTTTTTTTTGCTCACTCTACCTATTTGGCTTGAATTGACAGCTATGACGTCAAAATATGGCACCCAGTCGGTCCTATTCTTAGTTGAATCGCATTATAAAGTTATGAGTCGTTAACGTAGCAATAACGCAGTATATCAGAGTTTTATATACGTGCAATTGATTCTCATCACTAATTTTATTTATAATATTTATATTTTTTTTTCACTATTTTTTTTATTACATTTTTTTACAATTAATTGATAACAATCCAACACAAATCATCATCAGCTTCAATTTGTATGAAAGTAAGTGAATTTTTCGGATTCAATCTACACTTATGTCTGTAAAAAAAAAGCTAGAGTACGGTAAAATGTTGCATTTCGATCAAGTATAACAAGTATAAGTTCGTGGGCGGCCAAAGTACATATTGGCCCAACATAATAATATATTTAGAATAGAAATTCACAGTCCTATTTATTTTATGTGGAAACAAAATTTTAATGGCAACCCCGAAAATACTGAAACTATACCGACCATAAGTTCAATGAATTCGATTGCAACGGAAACTGTAAGTTTTTCATATTATTATTGGAAGTAGACAATGAAAAAAGAAATTAAATTTATAACAATAAATTTATAATTATTTAAATTTATAATAATAAATTAATTTATATAGCAAAAAATGCTGTTGGATTGGAAATCGAAGCCGAGGAACAAAGGGAAGCGTCAAACTCAAACTCAAAAATGTAAATATTTTATCTGTTTTATACTGACTTAATGGGTATTTCACTACTACACTAGGTACATAGTTTACAATGTTAGCAGTTTGGTTTTTTGTTTTAAACTCACACTAATGGGATGCATTTTTAGAGCAAAAAAAGTTTATTTTTAATATTTTATATTAGACTTCTTTGCTCCACAAGTTCAATTGACAGTAACTTGCTGATTTACGTACCATATCTGTGTCTGGATTGGAAATATATTTCCAGTATTGCCTATATCTGTTTATTAGATGAACTATGAAGGCAAAGACAAAACTACACTTAGTACAGTTTTACTGAGATATTTGATTATTACCAAACATCAATCATCATTAAAAAAGTTAACACTAAAAACACAAGCAAATAAAATATTATTTCTCATTGCCACTCGAAAAAGGGATTTCATTCAGCGATAACAGTGAACAAACTTTTCATTTAATTACTGAGTGATAAAAAAAATTTGAACAAACAGAAGTTATGCAAAGCATACATAAAGTTACAATAATTAGTAATAATTATAATTAATCTTTATTGTCATTTCCAAAACACAACCAATGGGTACTATAAATATATTATTTATTTTCTCACAATAGTAAAAAAACTTAATCCTTGTATCCTTTGCTCCACTCAGGATTCCTATCTAGAATCGTTCGTTGCTACAGTAGGGATCCATCTTAGCACTTCAAATTAATTTTATTTTATAATGGCATTTATTTTATAATCAATAATTGCATATTAAAGTATCAATTTGGTAAAGCGCGCTATACTGAACATCGCCGCGTCGATGTCTCGCTCGTGCGACTCGGACACGCTCGCGGCCGTATTTACCTAAACAAGAGAGGCGCAATTTTGTAAAAGGGCTCTTAAATATATGCCGTTCTTGGGGTCGGCCATGGGTACGCTAGCTTGACGTCATGGTAGAGTACACAGTAAAAATGGTCTTTATTTCTTAAATTAAAGAGGCACTATTTTTTTTAATTTTACACTAATTTGGCACTATTTACGCAGTATTTAATAGCATAACGAAAAACCGTATATTGATCGTGGGTACGCTAGCATCACGGACACGGAACGAGTCAAGAGAAGTTTCACTTATTACAATCTGTCTCTCTCGCATTTTAAAAATTCTCAATATACTATTACTGCCGAGTATTTGAGAACGGTTGTAATAGTACACAATTACACACATATGCCATATTACACACGAGAGACCTTGATTACACACAAAATGTGTAATTACACACAAAACGGCAACGCTGCTTTTAAGTATAGGGGAACCTATACTAATGTTAAAACGGTAAGTTTTATTATAAAAATAGGTGAGACAAAAATTATTCATCATGCAATTATCTATAAAAAATGTTCATACACTTTTTTTCCTAAGAATCACCATTTCGGAGATGTAGCGATGCAAAATGTTGAAAAAGTTGTTTTACTCATAATATGCACACGTTTCCGCGCCACCCGTGAGGTAGTGAATATGGCGCGTTTTATTTTCACATGGTTTCCCCGGTAGGCCTATTCCACGATCTATTGTGGTTCTGTTGAGTTAAAAGCTATTGTATTAAATTGAAAATGGTACTATTGTAATGACAAAAGTGGTGTAAAAAATAAAAATATATTAAATGCACATGTACAGTATATTTAGGATCTTAAAATTATTGTAGCATGGTACATGACCCTGTCAGGGTGTTGCAAGCACAATATCTATATCAACACAACTACTAAACAGTTTCAGTTTCAAACAAATAGTGCGAATAAAGAAGATTTTTTATTCACCTCATCAATTAAAAGGAATTCTTTCGGTCGGATGCCATTATTGTTCATTAGATACAAAAGAAATAAAATTCGAATGCATCTCACGCACGCTCGGTTATACGTCTTATTCGTTTTCCCGGTAAAAATATGGTATCATACCAGTACAAAATAGCGTCGGTACATTACCACTGGCCAGTATACTGATGTATATTTCGGAATACACCCTAAATGTGTGAAACAGATCGAGTCACAACACAACACGTAAGATATATCGATACCTTTGGGTAGAAAGGTCGTATAAACCAAAACCTGCCTTTTCAGGAGAGCAGAAAAACTATTTTTTTTACATGAAAATTCATAACTGTTTTGTTTTTGAATTAAAATAAAATTTCTATGAGAAAGTTTTTTATGCCACAATGAAAAAGAATAAATCATCAAAACCTATCTATCTTCTTTTGTTTTAAAGTTAGCTTGGATTTACGTCTAAGAAAAAATAAATTCTTGGTTAATACACCCCATGAAAACGTACTAGAAAAATACTGTGTAGGTCGTATATCCATTTTTGCTAAACTTATGGTCACATTTACTGTCGTGAAAACCCATATAAGTAGTTTTTTTTGTATTAAAAACCATTTATAATCATAGATCAATGGAATTCTGACTAATAAACAATCCTGTTACTCCCAGAATTAGTAGGAACTCAATTATTATTTTTCTCATTCCCAATAATGGTCGATTCAATTAAAATAAAACTACCTGAAATACGAAATCAACATAAGTCACTACATTATTCATTTGTTTTGTTCTAATAACAATAAAACTTGTAAACGAAACTTGTGACGAAACGCTCAGTGCGCGAACTTGCAACCAAGTAAAAAAATGCGCCGGTATCTGTTGAGCCCGCTTGCTCTTCTGCTTGTCGCTGCGCGCCAAATGCGAGCCTTGTGTGTTGGTCGTAAAGTGCTTCTTGCAATGAACATGGTTTATACACCAACGTCGCGAACTGCCTTTGGATTTACGACATCGAATTTAAACTATGTTTAGGTAATGTATTTGACACGTTAGGGCGTATAAACCATTTACAATTAACGACTATTTTTACGCCCTGAGTTAATATAAATTATGGTCAATTACATCATAACAAAACTACAAAAAAAAAATCGGCTTTTACATTGAAAATTTACCTTTTTTAAGAGGCTATGACCGAAAATTTCTGGGTCGTAAACATTTTTGTGCGAATTTCTGGATTTCGTATATACAGATCGATAGAGAAAAAATTCTGCAAATAAAGGTATATGTTACTCAATTTGGCCAAAATGGTTTATAAGACCTTTCTACCCAAAGGTGTCGATATAATTCTGCCTTCAGTTTAATATTTTTGCAGCCGTCCGTCCGTTTTTGTCTAAAAATCGTCCCTTTTTAGATTTTAAATCGTCCGAAACACGAAGCAGGTACTGGCAACACTGGTCTAATTTTTTAATATGAAGATTCCATGCCGTGGACTCAGTGGTCGCCAGTCGCCAGATTTCCATAGTTCAAATCAGTTCCGTCATCAAAGTTGCCTTTTAAGCATTGTACCGCCCTACATCGAAAGGTCTGGCAAGTAAAGGTAAGAAACTAAGGTTTCCACATAGTTAGCGCTCTGATCCAAATATACCTGCTCACTCGTTCCTTTCTTTTGTAATTTGCTAAGTATCTAACTAGAAATTTACTTTTGAAAGTGGAATAAAGTGTAGCATATGGCAAAATAACCACATTCAATGGCACAATCTCTTAAATGCTTATTTCATAATTAAATAATGCATCCATGGTGTAGGTAAATTGTTTCTTTTATTACAAACTGACCGCACGGTGCAATGTATTTTAATGAGAAATTGAGAAGTTATGAAAGTAAACAAATATGTATGTAGGGTGGTAGTCATTCTCTAGCAGACTCCAAATGTTGTGACATGTACACTTAATTTTAAATAATTTGACGTAAAAGTAGAATTTATTAAAATAAATTCTAATATCCCTGTTTTTTTATTGATAATTTAATATTATTTAAATTACATAACTATTGATTGGCATATGGATAGTTTATTTATGTATTTGTTTCTGTTTGTTACCAAAGCATGAAATATATTTATCCAAAAGGTAACTAGTGATGTGCCGGATTGTTAAAGACAATGAAACTTCTTAGCAATATATGGATTCACCTTTCGGGTGCCGGATCCATCATGTGGGATAGAGAGAAACTCTGAGCAGTTCCCTGGTGTAGGTTTAAAGAGGCCCCCTTGGAGATGTGCATAAATGCCTGCCCGCCCTTCCTAGCCAAATTTGATAGGAGCCGTTAGTGCAGCCTTAGTTACTCGTTCCAAAATTGAATTTACTGCAGTTCTCGACAGGCTGAGGTCTTTTAGAAGGTTATAGAAAGATTTTGCTAGGATACCTCTCGCTCTTACTTCTACCGCATATAAATTAACTAGATAGCCATTTTTGGTTAGTTTGTGCATTAGGAGTTACAGATTCAAATACAGATATTTAGTATCAAGACTAGCAGATACAATTTGCAATATTGGTTAAAATACCAAAAAAAAATATATCTAGATGAAACACGCATTTAATAGCATTACTTTATTTTATCGATAAAAAATTTACTTTCACTTCACTATTGTAATGTGTCAAAAAGGCCATCATCATAATGTCCTTGTAAAATATAGCCATAGTTTTTGGGTGTCTAACATTTCAAATCTTTGGTCAAATACACTGAAATCTTCTATAAAAAATGCTAAATGAAAGTCCATCTAAAGTAAAAATTTTTTGCGGTTAAATAATAATCATGGAGAATGTGACCTGCATGTTTATATTTGTTATTTAATTTGAATATTTTTCAGTTTATTATTCAAATAATTCAAATATTAGAACGCAATCGCTAACTGTCACCTACAAATAATATTCCCTTCATCTCTTTCATTTATTTATACTAACTAGAAGAAGCGAATATTGGACATTGTTCGGTCCTGTGTATAGGTTACGTTGGGTTTGCTGAAACTTTTCGATTTGTGCAGGAAGGGCATCATATTGATTTGACATTTAACTGAAAACTTTTTATTGATACATTTTGATATATATATCGTTCTCAAGTATCACTATCATCAGGTCTAGAAGACATTGGCGAATGGTGACACACTGCCACGGAGCACCTCCACTAATGTGATTAAAACGGTGTTTACCCTTCTCGCATGCCACCAAATTTACCAAATTGGAGTTTAAATAAAAATTTAGTAACACGGACTCTAGCGGGGGTGCTCTGTATCATTAATAAATTGATTTTATTTCTAACCATATTTATTTTTTCAGATAATAATCAGTACAATGGATACGACAATGACAGCAAATCAGGTTCGCAAAACCTATATAGACTTTTTTATTGAAAAAGGACATAAGTACGTTCATTCATCATCAACCATTCCATTAGATGATCCAACATTACTCTTTGCTAATGCTGGTATGAACCAATTCAAACCTATTTTTTTAGGATCCGTAGATCCGAATTCAGATATGGCTCAGTATGTGCGTGTTGTAAACACCCAGAAATGTATAAGAGCTGGAGGGAAACATAATGATTTAGATGATGTTGGTAAAGATGTTTACCATCACACTTTCTTTGAAATGATGGGAAACTGGTCATTTGGTGATTACTTTAAAAAGGAAGTCTGTGCATGGGCTTGGGAATTGTTGACTCAAGTGTATAAATTACCAGGTGAAAGATTGTATGTTACTTATTTTGGTGGAGACTCTTCATCTGGTCTTGAACCTGATTTGGAATGTAAAAATATTTGGCTAAACTTGGGCCTCCCAGAATCACACATTTTACCAGGAAGCATGAAAGACAATTTCTGGGAAATGGGTGAAACTGGTCCGTGTGGTCCTTGTTCTGAATTACATTATGATAGAATTGGAGACCGTGAAGCAGCTCATCTTGTTAATATGGATGATCCAGACGTACTAGAAATATGGAATTTGGTTTTTATCCAGTTCAATAGAGAATCAGATGGAACTTTAAAATCATTGCCCAAAAAGCATATTGATTGTGGATTGGGCCTTGAAAGGTTAGTGTCTGTTATTCAAAACAAAAGAGCTAATTACGACACTGATTTGTTTATGCCCTTATTTAAAGCAATAGAGATAGGTACTGGAGCACGACCTTATTCTGGAAAAGTTGGTGTTGAAGACGTTGATGGTATTGATATGGCATATCGTGTCTTAGCTGATCATGCTAGAACATTGACAATCGCGTTATCTGATGGCGGTTACCCTGATAACACCGGAAGAGGGTATGTACTGCGTCGTATCTTAAGAAGAGCTGTTCGATATGCATGTGAAAAACTCAACGCCAAGCCAGGATTCTTTTCATCGTTAGTATACACAGTGGTGGAAATATTAGGTGATGTCTTTCCTGAAATAAAAAAAGATCCCAAATCTCTTATTCAGCTCATTAATGAAGAAGAGGTTCAATTTTTAAAGACACTTACTAGAGGAAGAAACTTGCTTAATAGAACCATTGAACGACTTGGAGACTCTAAAGTTGTTCCAGGAGATGTGGCTTGGCGTCTTTATGACACTTATGGATTTCCTATTGATCTCACAATGCTTATGTGTGAGGAAAAAAATCTCTCAATTGATATGGAAAGTTATGAAAAGGCTAGGAAAGAATCTCTCCTAGCATCTCAAGGTAAAACAGCAGGCCAAGAAGATTTATTAGCACTTGATATACATGCTATAAGCTACCTGCAGGATAATGGAATATCAATTACAGATGATTCTCACAAATACAATTATAAAGCATCTACTCAAAATAAAGAAGCCATTTACAATTTTAGCCCATGCAAAGGAACTATTGTTGCCATTAGAAAAAATAAGGCATTTGTAAATGAAGTTAAATCTGGCGAAGAATGCGGCATAATTCTAGACCGTACGAACTTTTATGCTGAACAGGGTGGGCAAATATATGATGAAGGCTACATGGTTAAAGTCGACGATGAAACTGCTGAAATAACTGTTAAAAATGTTCAAGTTAAAGGTGGTTATGTGTTACATGTTGGAAAAGTAGAAGGTCAGTTTAAATCTGGAGATACCGTAATGTTGCACATAGACACTGAGAGACGAAGACTAGTGATGAATAACCACACAGGAACCCACATTCTAAACAATGTTTTGAGAAAAGTTTTGGGAACTGATTCAGATCAACGTGGATCTCTCGTAATGCCAGACCGTTTAAGATTTGATTTTACTAACAAAGGGCCAATGTCTATCAAGCAGATCAAAGATACTGAAGATCAAATCAGAAATATTATAAATGATAATAAACCAGTTTATGCTAAACACACTAACTTAAGTGACGCTAAAAAAATAAACGGACTGAGAGCCATGTTTGATGAACACTATCCCGATCCTGTACGTGTGGTATCAGTTGGAATACCTGTAGAGGAGCTTGAAAAAAATCCCGAAGGGCCAGCTGGTTTCGAAACATCTATAGAATTTTGTGGAGGATCTCATTTACATCAAACTGGTCATATTGGTGAGTATGTGATTGTAAGTGAAGAAGGTATTGCTAAAGGTATTCGAAGAATTGTTGCATTAACAGGGCCTGATGCCTTAAAAGCTTTAAATAAACTAAGTATTCTAGAGAACGAGGTAAATGATCTCGCAAATTATATTAATAATCAAGGAGACAGCTTGAATCAAAAAGAAATTACGAAGAAAATTGTGGATCTAAGCAATGACATATCTCAAGCCCAAATATCTTACTGGAAGAAAGATGAATTGAGGACAATGTTAAAGAATTTAAAGAAAGAACTTGACGATAAGGAAAGATCATTAAAAGCCGCAACTATTAATCTTGTTACAGAAAAAGCTAAACAACTATGCCTTGAACAGAAACATTCTGAAGTTATTGTTACAGAATTGCATGCACATGGAAATACAAAAGCTTTAGATGGTGCTTTAAAGCAAGTTAAAGCATTATGTCCAAATACTGCAGCTATCTTCTTTTCAGTGGACAACGACGCTAATAAAATATATTGTTTGGCTGCTGTTCCTAAAAATTTAATAGAAAAAGGACTTCTTGCATCTGAGTGGGTACAGTCTGTCGTTACAATTATGGGTGGAAAAGGCGGCGGAAAAGCAGAGTCTGCTCAAGCTTCGGGTAATAAACCCCAAAATATTCAAGAAGCTTTAAAAATAGCACAAGAGTTTGCTAAAAGTAAATTATCGTAAAAATTTTCATTAAATTTCTACGCCATAGGAACATCATAATGTATTTAACAAAACATGAATTATTTTGTGATTATTTATTTAACATGCTCACATCAGCTATTTTGATTTGCAATTGATTTTCAGCCTTAGTGGTAAGATTGTAAGATTTTGGATAATCTATAGCTATTGTCCTTACATGTCTGCGTTTTGCAATAAAAAGTGATGAAGAAAAATTTTTTTTTATATTTTTGTAAAAAAAATGAACTCTACATTGTATAAACCTAACCAATCCAGTATAAATAAACGCTTGTTAAATAAGTAAATTTGGCTACTGCTTATCTGGCCCTACCAAACATATTTTTTTAGGAAGGAGGTTTTGAGGAGATTGACCTAAAAAATAGCGCTCTCTGACACCAGTGTGTGAATTGATTGATTACATATTACGGCTTGGTTCTCCTAGGTGGACCACAGATATATTATCATTAAGAAATAAATAATACACTTATGGTTTGTTTAAATCTTAATCTTCTCATTGTAGTTTCTCACATAAAATCATTATTCCGAAAAAGTACCAGGATGCCATTCACGGCTAAGAGGGGTTATACAAAATGGAAATAAATAGTCTTTTTTTAAAACTGGTTCTAAATAAGATCTTTTTTCACTGTTTCATAATCAAAACATAAAAGCCATGTGTGGTCTCCTGGTACTTTTCAGGTTTTTTTCTTTTTGGGAAACTAAAATGAGAACATAATTATAAAAAAAGCGGCCAAGTGCGAGTTGGTCTCGCCCATGAAGGTTTCCGTAGCAGCAAGTAACATAATATAAAACCTGCCCCCCGCGCGCTCTGCACCCGCTACCGATCAAGCCACGCCCCGCGAGAATTATAATTATTATTTACTTAGACCTACCACTACGCAACTATTACAGATTTATTATTAGAAAATAATGGTTCACAGTTTATGCATAACGTTTATGTTTATGAAATTAAATGTTTTTTTTTTGTATATATATATTTGAGTTGATTGAATGAAAGGTAAATGGCCGTGTACGATTTATGACGAATTAAAAAAACTACTGACTAGATCTCGTTGAAACCAATTTTCGGTGGAAGTTTGCATGGTAATATACATCATATATTTTTTTAAGCTTTATAATTCTCTTATTTTAGAAGTTAATAGGGAGAGGGACACATTTTACCACTTTGGAAGTGTCTCTCGCGTAAACTATTCAGTTTCGAAAAAAATGTCATTTTTGAAGACCCTTCCATAGTATGGGTTTGATGAAAAAAAATTGTTTCAATTCTAATTATTATATGGGAAACCCCAAAAGGAGAATGGGCATTATGGTACACGCACCAAAAATAAATCAATGTGGTGTCATTGGATAGGTCTTATAATCTGGAAAAATATTTACTATGGTGACTTGTCCCAAATCCTGTCCGAAAACCACGAGAAGCCCCCAAAGTTCCACTTTTAGTTGACATCATAATTGCAAAAATACGATATTAATACCTATGATTGAAAACATCATGAGCGACAAAATGAATGATGGAGAAAACCCATTACATTGCTTTCTTCAACCGAACGATGTTTTTATATTAGAGCGCGGCTTCCGGGACAGCTTAGATGCTATCGAAGCATGTGGATATGAAATCTACGTTTCACCATCTAAATACAGATGGGAGACGCAGTTAACTACTGAGCAAAGTAATGAAGCTCGATCAGTTACAATATGCCAGTGGGTAGTGGAAGTAGTGAACGGGAGGTTCAAGAGCAATTTTAAGCTTTTGCGGCAAAAATACTTTAATAAAACACTACCGAAAATGTTTATTGATTTTAAAATCGCCGCAGCTTTGATAAATAACTTCCATATACCCATCGATGACAACACTCACGCAGAGGCCTTCCTAAACATAATCAGGGAAAAAACAGATTCCCCAAATATACTTTATGATTATGTAGAAAGAAAACGTTTAAATCCGCTCTTCAATTATTTAATTGAAGAGCGGATTTTCAAAGAATAGAAAGTCAAGACATACAGAACTTCATACTACTAACGGTAGAACAGATTATTTTACTTTCTTTAGGCACCTACCAGCTAAAGCTAGCACGATCCTACTGCAGCGAGCGTTTGTCAAATAGATAATACAGAAATACCTACATAGAGAAAGTTCACTCGAAGATTTAATTGAATATGGCATAAACGAAGATACTTGGCTTTTACGCGGACGCATACAGTCGGGTGGATCTCACAAATATATTTTTTTTAAAGCATTTTTTACCTTCCACAGGAATTTCTCTCTGATTTCAATCTATTAGCATACATTCTATAGTCTACCTTTCTGACAACTTTTTACAAGTATTTGGACCACGTTATCTCTTGTAGATTTTGAATAATCAAGAAAATTGTATTTATTGTCATGAATGTAATGACATCTATAGGAGTGTAATGACATTTTAATATTGCTGTAAAGAAATAAGGTATTTAAGGTTTATTTAAGGTATTCTTGTAATGATCTTATTTTCCTTAAGAATTTTAATAACAGACGGTAATGATCAATACGTTTATTTAATAAAAAAATAACGATAGTTTAATAATGTACTTTAGGCATTATTATACGTAGTACGATTTTGTCGGATAGGCCTATCAGTTTCAGTCTCATCAGGAGACCATCATAATTTGCAAGATAACTACGCTAAGGTCCTAAGTCCTTTGTAATTTAATCAAAGATAAATTCAAACAAAAATACTAGTCAAAACATAAAATAGGTAAGTCCAAAGATAAACTCGATAACAAAAATTCGAATAAAAAAAAATACAACTAAACAATAAACAATTCGAAACAAAATTACAACTCGAAACAAAAATAAACAACAATACCTACAGTTCGTAGAATTAATAAGGATTTGATTTTATAATAACAGAACAGTAACAAATACAATACTTTACTTTCTTAAATACTTATACAATACTTTCTTAAATGTAGGTAACAATTACTTATGTAGGTAGGTACTAACTGCGATATAAAAAAGCAAGGAATGATTAGGTGCTGATAATATACAATTAGGAACATAAAGGAGATCAGTCAAATTGCACCAAAAACATAAAACTATCGGCCAACGAAAATAAATTGCAGATTATTATTGTAAGCAGTGTAACGATCATTTTTTGTTATGACGTTAATAGTGTATGATTAGTGGCCAAGTGTTATTCAAGTTAGAAAATGATAAGAAAATGACATTTTCGAACTTGAATAACTGCTTGGCCACTAATCGTACACTATTGACGTCTTAACCAAAAATGATCGTACACTGTTTGCAATAGTATTGCTCAATTTATTTTCGTTGGCCGACACTTTTACTTTTTTGGTCCAAACATGTATGAAGCGTGACTGATCTCCTTTCAACTTTGAATTATTATTTAACCCAATTAAAAATATTCCAAAATCAGTAGTATCTTCGAGATCAATAGAATTTCTAATTCGTAAAGTACAAACTTAGCTTCAAAAACATCTAATTACTTTAGGAGTCAAACGAGTAAAAACATCTAAGTTCGTAATCTTATTATAAAATAAAAAGTTGACCTTAAACTTAATACCAGGCTTTTCATTTCTTTGGCTTTTTAAATACTATTTTTGGTTTTAAGAAATCTTCAAAATCAGCTAAATTTTCTTTATTGTCCGAAGATACGGTCGTCATGTCTTTAGATGTAGATGGTGTTGACTTGTAGGCGGATACCAAAAAATTTGTCATTTCCTCGGCCCCCAAAGAAATGTCCTGCAGCACAGTTATTTTATTTGATACACCATCATTAGGAAAATATTTCCTACTGCCTTTGGTGCGTACAAGCGGTGCAACAAAATCTTCTGGCTGTTGGATCTCTTTATTGAGTCTAGTTGGGTTTTTGGTGAATCCAATATGAAAGCCGTGGCCACATATTTCACCCGGGCTACAAGAAAAGCAGGTCAGGTTTCTAAAAGTGATAAAATCCTTATCTTTTTTCCAAAGAACTTGATGCACGGAGAGAGTGCCACGAAAAGTGGTAAGATTTTTTGGCATGAGGTTATCTTTGTCTGTTACCATTTCCTCTGTCACCGGCATTATAATAACATTCTTTAATTGTCCTTCTAAAATCTTGGTAAAATCAACAAAATTAGCAACATCTTTTCCAAATTTAACCGCTGCATCTGCTGTTCGTTTTACAACTGCACCTACACCATCAGGGGCACCTTTGCCGTGCCCTTTCTCGGAATAGTTCCATATAACACATTCAATTTGTGGAAAATCATTACAAAGTTGAGAAATCATGAAGAAAATGTACTTATTCCTATACTGCGACGTGGGGGAATCAGATAGAAAATATAAAGTAGTTACAAATGGGTTTTTTTCTATTGTCAGACGAATTAATGGTAATAGGTGCGCCCAAATAGCAGGTGCATCGTGACGCACACATTGGCTGACAGTACAAACCGACATAGGATCTACAGTTCCAGTCTGAAAATTATGGGTGTATACTACAGCTGTATGAAGGGTTATTTGGGAACGACTGCCACCGAAATGTAGAGCCTGAACTTCTTGGGCGAATTTAATACAGAAATTTTCTGAAAAATCTACATGTAGGAGGGCTTCATGGTTTCTCAACTTTTCTTTTAACTTTTTAATCTCGTTGTACTGGTTTACAATATTAAAACAGTGAAGAAAAAAGTCCGGCAAGTCATCGTTAAGTTTTTGAATAGCATCTAATGGCGAAATTTTTGTAGCTATTTTGGTTGTTATATTGCATATTTTCTTCTTCCTGTCTGCAGTTATGTACTCCCTTTTCTGTCTCTTCCACGAATAGTATTCAAGTTCTTTATCATTACTAAATTCTTTATAATTAAGCAGTTTTTTCATGCATGAAACGCATTTTCTAGTAATACATTCGTATTTGTATCCAGAACAACAAAGCGACGAAATTAGCTCCATCGAATTCTTCTCTTTTATGATATTTGCTCTATGCAGTGCCTGAACAAGTAAATCTATGTTTGAATGAAGCTCGCACATACATGTGTCTCTATCCGAATCTTTAGGAAACACGACCCAAAACGGCCGGTATCGGCAAAAAGTTGAGTAACTGATAATCAGATGTTCATTTTCGGCTCTGAATTTATCATATAAATTTTTCAAATTGTCACTCAAATATCTTTTTTGGCGGCGTTCTTTGTTTTTAGTAACGAATTCTTTTTTTCCTGACCCAATCCGGCTGTTGAGATCGTCTTCATAAAACTTTTGGATTCTTATTAAAATATTATTTTGTTTTGATTTTATTTCTTGATGATAGTTTATTCTGCTCTTATTCTTTAAACAATATTTGCATGATATTTCCTTATGTTTTGAGTTTGTAATTGTTTTCCTTAATCTATTTAGTCTTTGGCGTAAATCTTTGTTTTTCTGTTTTAGTTTCTTTATTATTTGCAACAAATTCTCCCTCTTCTTTGCTTCCCTATATTTAATTCTCTTCACTAGCAATTTTTCTGGCGAAGTAACAGTTTGAACTTGGAAGGGCGTACCAGAGCTTAGTGGATCTTTGGAATTTTTATCGGTACTCTCAAGGTTTTGAGCACTCGTCGAAGCTTCCATCATAACTATGTTTTCTGCTTGTTGTTTCTTCTTCTGTTCTGCTATTTTCTGTCTGTGTCTCCTGGTATTTTCTCTCCATTGTTTACGCTTTAAGCGCTGATCTCTTGAATTCAATTCATGTATACTTAATATTTTCTTATTTTCTTTTCTTTTCAAATAATCAGCTTTATTTTTCTGTTTCTGTTCTTCGTATAATACTGGGTCACTTTTTATTCGAAGGTTTTGACGTTGTTTTGCTTGTCTTTGTTTTTTCAAAATTTCTTCCTTTTTCTTGTTCCCGCTCGGCATTCTTTCCTAAAAGCAAGCAATTTATAAAGGTTTTTTTAAATAAAATCATTAGAGCGCATTCCCGATTCTATCCTCAGCGGTAACGTTTCAGTGCCAAATACCAGGCCAATTCTAAGATAGTCTTAACGCTAGATGGCGTTAGGGACCTTACCCTAACTTCCGAAGCAATTAATTATCTTCTTAAAGTACAGTCACGTGATTCAGCCTACAAAGTCCTATCAAACTGGAAACAACTAAACAAAGTAGTAGGTATGCAAGTTATTTTAATTTTTACTTTATTGCATTCATTCACAATGCAATTTTTATTATTGAAAAATTTAAAATGAAGTATTTAGAAATGAAGTGCGTAAGAAGTATTCTAAAAATTCGACGCCTTTCGTAACATCTCCGTAGCTCAGTGGTTAGAGCAGTCGCCCGGACAGCGAAAGGTCGTAGGTTCGAGTCCCATCGGAGCTGGTTGTGAGACGGGTCGAATTTTTCTAAATTCTTAATTTTCAATTTTTAAAAGTAGTATGCTGTCATGGGATTCGAACCCACATTCAGGATCTCAAGGCAAACGTCTAGATCGCGGGGGTGATTTGATTTTTTAATAAAATATTTAGTCAATAAACACTTTATATCTCAACTCAATGAAATGTCATTACATTCATGATTATGTCATTACGATCACGGTAAATTTGAACGTAATGACTACGAGCGTAATAACAAGACGGGCAATCTTAAATTATATTTTTACTAAATACGAAGTTAGATAAGAAAAACTCCATACAATTATCGTTGGGAACCAGGGTCTAATATATGCATAAATTAGAATTTACTCACGGTTGATCCTTTACAGTTACACGTTAAAACAGAATGACTTCAGGTAGTGACAAAACACTGCGAACGAAACTTTGTTAAAAAAATATCATTAAAGACACGTCTTTCTCCCAGTAATCACGGCCGACGAATGAACGTCGACCGGCGGGCGGGCGTTCAATGAGGTTTCGGCGTGTCACGACATGATCAAACTTGAATTTATAGACTTTCAAAAGTTGAATTGTCATCGTGAACTGAATGACGGATTTACAGTGACAAAACTTTGAACTGAATTATTTTTTAAAATATTAATAATTTCATATTATTATAACTACAAACTGAATGGGACATTCATCAAGCCTCCGTTATTTTTTTTCTTACTTGGTCCTAGTAGTAATTTTATTTTTATTAATTATGTTTTTATAGGAAGACGGGTTGGCTTCAAGCACCTGAATGACACTTTGCATAGTTTTTAAGCCTATTTTTTTTTTAGAGTAATAAAACACATGTAATTGTTTCTTACCTAGTAAGTATAACCTTATACTCATAACTTGCAGCTAAAATTTATTTAGAAAAACTGGAATTTTATAATTAATCAACGGTAGATTGCTGATATCGAATTTTGTAAGATCCACCCAGTCGCGTCACGTACGATCAAAAACTTATTATTGTTATATATTGATAAAAAAAAATGTTAATGAAAACCAAACCAATATTCATAACATTTTATGCAATTATTACTGCACGTGTTTGACCGGACGACGAACAATCGGCACTTGTACTCATATAGTTTCCATCGTGTGGTATTCAGTATATGCCAGACATGAAGGCCTCACTGCTCCTGCAGCGTTCCTCAACGATGTGATTATGGATAATGATTAAAAAATAAATATCGTTACTCACTTTTCCATTTTTTTTTAATTCCTGAATCTTTATTCATTTTAGTACCTATTTTTATCAATAGATACATAATTCTATACAAAATAACAATATAATACCATATTCTTATAAAAAAACAAACAAAAAAATATACTTAACACTAAATAATTCCGTTCCGACAGCAAACGGAGACAAGCGACTCAGTTATCCTTAGTCCTTGTAAAAAGACCTTTCCAACGATATACATATTATGGCTATTGGGCCGTGTACCAGGCTTCATACATCTTTGCCCATTGTCCTTTATTGTTTTTTTTTGTCCATTTTTGTGTGAAAATCTTAACGCGGGTCACAGAATACATCTACTTACCAAGTTCCAACAATATAGATCTTAAAGGTTCGGAAAAAAGTGGTCACAGCCACTTTTTACGGATATTATAAGGACCGATATGACGAATCTATAAGGGTTCCGTTTTCTGCCATTTGGCTACGGAACTCTAAAAAGATTCACTATCACAAGTAATTCAGGAACAACTAGTCAATCATATAAAAAAAACTAGCTAAATGGAAAATAAATATCCAATTATCCCTACCAGTGCGGATTAGTAGAAATCTAAAATACTTAACCCTACTGGTAGCGATAAATGGAAAAAACCCCAAGTATCCCTACTAGTGGAAATATGTCGGTAGGGATATATGGAACAGGGGCGAAAAATGGGAACAGAGGCTAAGCTTCATGCAGTGAGCAGTACTGGCGGTCTGTCGTCTCGCTGTATTCAGCGATAGGTACGATACATAGCGTACGTGACAGGTTATGAAGTACACGTATGAAGCTTTGTCACTGTGCCTTCATTACTCATGTGATGATACTACCACAGCGTTCTGTGCATAAAAACTAGATCACCCATTCGCAATCTCACATCCGTTCTCAACTCTTCAGACAGTTTTCGAGATATTAATGAACAGCCATTCCTTCAACACGCATTCCTACCAAACGTTGCTTTTAATCTTTATAAGTAGCCTGCATAATCAGCACGCAGCTTGGTATGCCATCAATCCCTATCTCTGCAATATACTCTAGGCCAGCGATAGATCTACGGCCCGCGAGCCATCTCCGGCCCTCTAATAGTTGAAAAATCCGGCCCGCGACCATCAAACAAAAATAAAGGATACTCATCAAATAGTACATTTTTTCACATATTTCCTTTCCAATAGGTAACTTCGCAGCATAGAGAATACTAGTATATAGGGAACTTCGCAGCAAACTCAAGAGGCATAATCGTAAGTGGTCCGCGCCATAGATTCTAATAGTAAATATTAACACGATAAGGAAAAGTTGCCCATTCTTGCACTAGAATCCGTCAATGTTAAGTTTTATACTATAATACAAATTACAGTTTCAAGGTAGAAAGTGGCCCGGTTTATTTGCTAACAAGTGTCTTTTACAACATATTTAGTTGATTTTTATTAGGTCATTTCTGATCGTATTTATTTTGCGATTATTTTTCCTACTAGATATAGTCACATAGGTAATAACTGAGAAAGTATTACCTATGTGACTATTGTATCAGGATATTTTTTGTAGTATAACAAAAAATATCCTGATACAATAGTACCTAATACATATCTTCCAGAAATAACAGCCGCCATAGACAACTTATGCAAAAAAGATAGTAAAATATAATGTAGTATAATTTTCGCCAAAACTATCGGGTCAGATTTTAAGTGTAGCTGAGGTATTTCAAAGAAATACCACAACGGTGTCGGTATTGTTTCTAGAACCAACTCTCATACTTTGCCCTGTCTCAGGTAACATAATTTAAGATATGCTTTTTAGTAGTACTATATTTCATCAACCATATTCGTAGAGGACCAAGGCAAAAATATACCAACCTTGTTCGTCCAGTAAAACTACATAAATTGGATCAGGAGCAAGAAACCGTCACAAGTAAATATAGAGATTAGAGAATTAGATAATAAATTATCTAAGTTCACTATCAACAAACTATATTTAAGTCAAATACAAAAGCAAGTATAAGCCCAACTATCGCTAAAGGGATATATATGCTACTACAATAAAAACTACAAATTATTTATTGAACTTTATAGATGAACTCTCATTAAATATTGTTCAAACAAAATATTTCTTATACACTGACAGAATACTAAACATATCTACATAATAATATTAATTAATTAAAACAAAATATTCATACATTATTTGGTTGGTCTTTTTTATAACAGCACCAATTCCATTGGCGAAAAAACTTAGGTGGTGCAGTAGAATGTGCTAATAAATTTACATATTTCACTAATGCTAAATAGTAGATATCTATAATATTTTCATTCTTGGCCAAAACCTTCAGTTTCTTCAATAGCGTAGTTAAGTTTTTCACATAGTTGTTCATAACTCTTATATGGTGGTAAGTCAAGTCTGTTGAAACAGGTGTGGGAGCGAGGCAACCACGTGTCTTTGCCGACCTGAAACCAAAACAATAAACAATGCTGCTAATGACAATTAAACTCATTTTTATTGTTATAATGACAGTACTCTTAATCAAGACCCGTTGTATGTTGTAATGAAATTTTTATTGTATCTTAAACATTACAACAAATGTGCATTATATAATATAAATATATGCATAAAGTAAAATACTACTACACAACTTTCAATCTTGTGGCAGAATACAACAGAATATGGAAATATTCTGCTAAGAGCTAACTGTCAGTATACATATTTTATTTTTGAAAAGATGATAGATAAAGTCAAACGAATCGCAAAAATTAAAACTTTGCACATGGCAGTACTGATTATAGTTTAATTAACTAGGAGTGATACTTTATTTTTACGGAATTAAAAAAGGAGGAGGGTTATATATCTTTAAGTATGTTGTTCGCACGTTTATCGGCCAATTCGATGATGTTTGAGGGTTCTGTACTCAAAAGGTAAAATCGAAGCCCTATTGCTGACATTCTGTCGTCTGTCTGTCTGGCAGAACTGAATTTTTTAAATTTTATGTAGAATGCTTGCCCAAAGCCGAATTTTGAACTAAAATTCATACATGTGACGTCGTTGTCTAGAGCTCCTATGAATATTCTTACGTGTCGGAATGAGGGTTCGTAATTAAAATGCCAATTTACGCTTAAAAGTTCTTTATTGACACAGTTCATACAGTAAACACTCAATATTAGTCACAATGTACTCACTGTAATTATAGAAGTCTTTATACAATCGCACACGAACACTTTACTTGCACTTTGATCGCCTTGGTAATCGTTCTGAAATCGCTGTTGAAACTCAATTGATCCTTCCCGGAGCCAAACGCCCTTAGAAAAAGGTAGTTGTTTTTCGCGCATATATTAACGATCGATTTCGATAATTTTTAGTTTACTATTGGGTATATTCGAATAAGAAAAAGAAAATTGCTCAAAAAAAAATAAGTACTCTGTTAATCGCTGAAAGATAAATCTGAATCAAAAACTTTAATTCCTTCTATTATATGTCCTTGTTAACATCTTTTTCTTGATATTCAACCTCTCCTTCTACATTTTCAATATCTCTCCATTCATACTCAACCTAATTGCTTTCTCTTATATGGTCAATTTGTCCTATTAACATTTGATCATGCAGATCAAGTACCTTAAAAGAAAACAAATTTCAATTAGTGTAATGCAAAACCATCATTAACAATTACCCATCTATCAATTACTACTACAAATTTATATTTTTATTACAATTAAAACAATAGTTTAATATTTAAACTTGTGTGATAACTAATAGTAACTGTTGAAATGTAAATAAAAATACCAATACAAAAACAAATAGTATCAAGAAAATGATTGAAACTCACTCGTTGATGTTAGGATTTCTTCATAAAATTGCTCTTTTTGCATAAGAAACGACTCCATTTGTTTTTTGCAGATTTATTATAACTCATTATTTTATAAATAACTTCTCCGACTCCAGTTTTCTCACTTCTTTTCACACCACAAACAGTAAATAAATAAAAAAATATTCTTCATATGGAAGATTCTTACGTGACATGATATTTATGAATGACGTCCAAAAAGGGCTGCCAGATCAAGTTTTTCTGGTGTGACCAGATTATTAACTCTGTAACAATGTTATCGTGGTCCGACTGTATTATGACCTATAAATTGCTTTTTCGTAATTTACACACTTACGGTTGCCATAGATAACACAAGTCAACAAAATGAAAATGTTTTAGACTGGTATTTTATTGCTATAGATTATTAGAGAAGTTTTAGAAAACGATCTCACTTTATTTAATGATATCATATGATTTGAAGTGGTAGTGGAGTTTAGACTCGAAACAGCTGGTGCAGTTTTATCTGTCATACCAATCGTCAATTGCCAGCCTGCAGAAATGCTTATTCACGCCTCTTGCAAAGATCCCGGAATGTAAGAGAGCCACGATTATGTAAGAGAAATGAAACCTAAAAGTGCACCCCTGTTAAAATTCTCATTCGTAATTAGAGAATTATACGTAGAAAAATGACTTTTACGGTTAGATTAATACATACCTTTTCTATGCAGAACCTTTGAGGTCCATTAGATCCCATCAATTCTGCAAAACCCCCCACGGGAACTCTGCAGGTACCAGTCACGAACTGGAGTAATCGTGCCCGCTTTTCGTTGTCCATTTGCCTAACAAACTGTAAAAAGAAACTTTTATTTTTATACGAGTAATGTCTTTCGTGCACCCGAATACGGGCTAACGACCAAGTGTAATTGAGCCATTAACGTAACACCTCTAAGGCACACCAGACATACAATTGTATTACGATAATTGTGGCGCCACATTTGAATCGCGACACATTTAACGTCCTAGTATATACTATATGTATTATCACGTACACCAAGGACACATCTGTAGCGGGTGCATTTAGTAGCGAGACAAAATCAAAAATATTGCGTGCATATTGTGGCAAGATAAATGTTGCGTGCATGTAACTTGTGGCTCGGGTGTGCGACCCCACTAACAATCCCCAAATAAAAAACACGAACCATTACTTAATTTATAAATGTTAACCGATACTCTGTTCGCCTTCGCCTTTCGCTTTTGAGGAGCTCGATGGAGCAAATAGTAAGCGCGTTTGGTCTGCGAAGTTAAGCAACTGTCGCTATGGCCGATCAAGGGATGGGTGGTCAAAAAATTTATTATCTAGAGTTCCTCCGTGCTTCGGAAGGCACGCTGTATCTGCAGTCCTTAGCACCCACCAATCCGAACAAGGCCCGCGTGGTTTCTCATGACTCTATCTCTATATTCCATCCATAGGAAATAACTGTACCACATCACAAATAGGGTGATAACACAGAGTACCTCCAAGGGCACCATCTTGGCCAAGTTTATTTAGTATTAGAGCATAAGCGTGTGTGCGCGTGATCCAATCGTGATGTCACAATGATGTATGCCACCTTAATATTATAAATACCGTAAGATTATAATCTGTATTGCAAAATTGTAAACTGTCCAAAGATTGAGACCCGTAACATACTGCTTACGATATTACGCATTATTTTTCGGTAGATAATTATCTGGACTTCCCCGTTACTCAACATCAGGTGAGGTGGTCATCTGTCGAACCTATTTATAAAAAAATATCGAAGCGGAACTGTTAAATCATAGCTTATCGCGCGATAGATTGTGATTTAACAGTTTTACTTCGATATTTTTTTATAGGCATAGCCTGCTTGCTGGAGCACATGTAGTGCCGGTAGATGGTGCCCCGTTGCCAGACCTCCCCGCCTGCCAGCTGCATGCTGCACACATTGATGACGTCGCCTCACCTGCCAGAACCAGGCGACCTGCTTGCTGGAGCGCGTGTAGTGCCGGTAGATGGTGCCCCGTTGCCAGACCTCCCCGCCTGCCAGCTGCATGCTGCACACATTGATGACGTCGCCTCACCTGCCAGAACCAGGCGACCTGCTTGCTGGAGCGCGTGTAGTGTCAGTAGATGGTGTCCCGTTGTCAGCCCTCCCCGCCTGCCAGCTGCATGCCGCACACCTTGATGACGTCGCCTCACCTGCCAGAACAAGGGCGACCTTATTGCTGGAGCACGTGTAGTGCCGGTAGATAGTGCCCCGTTGCCAGCCCTCCCCGCGTGCCTGCTGCGTGCCGCACACATTGATGACGTCGTCTCACCTGCCAGAACAAGGGCGACCTTATTGCTGGAGCGCGTGTAGTGCCGGTAGATGGTGCCTCGTTGCCAGCCCTCCCCGTCTGCCTTCTGCATGCCGCACACATTGATGACATCGCCTAACCTGCCAGAACAAGGGCGACCTTATTGCAGGAGCGCGTGTAGTGCCGGTAGATGGTGCCCCGTTGCCAGCCCTCCCCGCCTGCCTGCTGCATGCCGCACACCTTGATGACGTCGCCTCACCTGCCAGAACAAGGGCGACCTTATTGCTGGAGCGCGTGTAGTGCCGGTAGATGGTGCCCCGTTGCCAGCCCTCCCCGCCTGCCTGCTGCATGTCGCACACATTGATGACGTCGCCTCACCTGTCAGAACAAAGGCGACCTTATTGCTGGAGCGCGTGTAGTGCCGGTAGATAGTGCCCCGTTGCCAGCCCTCCCCGCGTGCCTGCTGCGTGCCGCACACATTGATGACGTCGCCTCACCTGCCAGAACAAGGGCGACCTTATTGTTGGAGCGCGTGTAGTGCCGGTAGATGGTGCCCCGTTGCCAGTCCTCCCCGCCTACCTGGCTGCATGCTGCACACATTGATGACGTCGCCTCACCTGCCAGAACCACGCGACCTGCTTGCTGGAGCGCGTGTAGTGACGGTAGATGGTGTTCCGTTGCCAGTCCTCCACATCTACCTCCTGCATGCCGCACAGCATCAGTTCCAGCTCGCGCTCGTCGAAGTACTTCAACCACTCTAGCGGCACCACCTGCCAACAAACGACACCTCAGCCTTACTCGTAAACTCACAAACTTAATGAAGCATTCTGCCACGGCGCGATGTGACGTCATTAAGCGCGTTTTATTGTCTGTACCAGGCGAGTGCTCCGAGGAGTTATTCTCCCATATCCGACCTTCCCGTTCCATTCAGAGGACCAAAGCGCCGATATGATATTTAACGCGTTTTTATCACGCTCAATTGAGTTCTATCAAAATTACTATTGAGTTCGAAAATGAGACGCGATAAAAATGTTAATGTAAATTGTCCCTCCTATAACCCGAGATTCTCTAAGATGCGTAAATAAACAAGGTGTGACAGGTAACACTGCTGTACCAGCTATATTCGTGTCTGGACTCCAACTTCACTTTACATGAGGTTGGGTGGAGTAATTTTTTTAGATCTATTAATTTAAAAAACTGAAGTACGTAATCGCCGCACTCAAATAGAGACGGTTCAGAACAAAGCCTCATATCTATCACGCATATATTGACGTTACTTTTGTAGGCATTCGCACACAGTTTTTCAGTTGCATTTATTCGCGGCGGCAAACGAGGCGTTGTCTATTTATTTAAAATCTAATTGGATCGCCCGTCTAGGAATTTGAGGAATCTCCACCTTTGATAATTTAGCAAAACATGTGCACTTTATTATACCTATTGTAAGATCTTCTTTTACCATGTTATAAGCAAATAAATAACATTATCTATACTTATAATAAATCTGTAGAGAGGTCGATTCTGTACATGAAATATATTTTCAAAATAACTATCAGGGGGTGATTAGTGATCGATACTGATGCCAAAAATGCAATCAGTAAATTTTTTGTCTGTCTGTCTGTCTGTGTGTATGTTCCTTATAGAAACAAAAACTACTCGATGGATTTTAACGAAACTTGGTACAATTATTCTTACTCCTTACTGCCTTACTCCTGGGCAGGTTATAGTATACTTTTCATCACGCTACAATCAAAAGGAACAGAGTAGTGAATGGAAATGTTGGGAAAACGGAAGAAGTTACTCCATTTTTTAAGCTTATATTATTAATGGTTAAAGTTACATAGAAATCATGTATGACGGAAATATTCTACATAAAATTGTCTAAAAAATATCCCGCAACAGCATATGTCTATATTTTATGGTTGACTCACAATAACACGTGTAACTCCTGATAGCTTAGCAGTTCGGAACATTCTGATTATATTTGTTTACTCTTACGCTTATAATACTCTCACTCATCCCTAATTTAATAAAGTTAACATTATTACCTATTCAATAAAAAAAGAATCATAGAAAAAGAATTAAATAAATAAATTCATTGTGTACAATACACGCCTGAGAACAAAAACTATAGTCTACACTACAGCTCTACACCGAAGCGAAGCGAGGGCGGGCCACTAGTTATTAAATATATTTTGTAATATAAATTATTACAAAATAAATACAAAATATAGTAAAATAAATTTTGATGAAGTTATGTGTATATTGACGAGTTAGGACCCAGAGCTAGGTGGCGCGGAGATTGCGTTCATTAAGGCCGGCTTAATGTTAGAATGGCTAGAGCGGTATATTTATCTACCGCAACAAATAACTTAAGCGGGGTGCAAAAAATTCCCGCATCATAATAAAGAAAAAAAGCGGGCGTGTCTGTTTTAATACTTAAAATATTATCTTGAATTTGTTAACGAAAGGAAACTACCATGTAGTTGATCACATATATTCTTCAAGTGCGGAACATCAAATCCACCGACCGTAATCATTACTAAATATTTGTCAAAACTCAATTACCTCATTGAATCCGTCGAGGAACGCCGACGTTTGTTCTTCGATGCCGCGCGTCATTCGCCATTGTGTAACGAGTTGAAGATATTGTTCCTTGTTTGCCTGTTCACAATAAGAATTTTTGATATAAATTTTAGTTATGCTGCTAATTTGTCGTTAGTTACATTCTTAGCCTAGGCACACAATTTGAAATAATACAACTTTGTGGTATAATTTCGAGTTCGGGCATCCAACTGGTGAAAATTACTTTTTTCAATATTCAACTGTCTAATTTTTTTTTCTGGGACTTTTATAATGATACAATAAAATAAATCAAAAAACCGCTTATTTACCTACTTAAAAAAGGTTTGTATTTGTTACGTTGTTATTTTGTTTGTATACGAGGTGTATTCAAAAAATAAGGTGAATTTTCAAATTTCGCGGGCTACGTGCATTCGACTTTCGATTATTATTATTTTCTATGTTGGTACAGTCGTCTCGACAATATGTTCACGGTTTTAGCTATTTAGCATGTTTAGTTTGTTTGTGATAGGCATAAATAAGACAAGTGTCTTGTGTGTTCGGTGATTTACTGCTATCGAAAAAAGTGGATCAAAGGAGTTGCATTAACTAGGGGGAGTCTACTCGAACAAAAATTAACACTTTAAAATTCAATATTTCGCAAACGGATCCCTAAAAAAATAGTCTTAGGAACCCCTAAGTAATTTTAACGATTTTTTAAAGGACCTATTTAACGATACCCCACACGAAAGGGTAGACAATGAAACAAAAAACATCCCTAGGTTACATGTATGACAGCTACCCTAAAATAATAATTTTAAATTTTTTTACTCTACCATTTTGTCGGCGTAATTGATATACATATATCGCCACAAAATTAAAGCTATCAAGTGCTAACAGTCTTCAAGCGAAACCGGGGACGGACAGACGACATGACGAAACTATAAGTGTACCTTGTGAGGTCTACGGAACCCTAAAATACCTTAAAGGATACGCAAATACGCCATTTATATAAAATGTTTTGATAGAGATGCGCCGAATGTGGGTTCAACCGAATACGAATGTTCGGCAGAATATTAGGTTCAAAATGTACCGAACCGAATGATTCGGTTCAATTTTGCGCGGCAAACAGGTTTATACAAGTCCGTACTGCACTCTACAATAGACGGGTGCGTTCTAAGTATAATTATAAATATTTAATTGATGATTATTACTAAATAAGACTTACTAGTTTTTCTGATCTCTTTTAATTTTAATGGTAATTTTATTAAGTATTTTGATTTTTGTCAATAAAGAATTGTTACACAAATAAGTGTGTCTTTCATTTATAGAAGGTCAAAACTACCCGAAATCGTTGAGGACTGTAATGAGAGTAGATGAAGCGAAAGAAGTATGTAAGGATCGTAGCAAGTGGAAAGAAGTAATCTCTGCCTACCCCTGTGGGAGAAAGGCGTGACTTTATGTATGTATTCATTTATAAAAACTGTGTACCAACAGTGCACGCAATGAACTTTACCTTTTTAATTAAACTTATGAAAGGAAAACATTGTTTTGAAATAATAATAATTTAATTATTCGGTAATCATTCGGCACATCAACCGGATATTCGGCCGAATACGAACCTTAAAAAAATATGCCGAATGTACCGAATACGAATATTCGGTGCATCTCTAGTTTTGAGGCACGCTCCGTTGTATGGCCCGTAATTTTGAACTTTCGAGCAATATAGAATCTCCTTAAATGCATTTTTTGAACAATGTGTTGAAAATAACTATTACTTACTTCGGTTACGCGCTCCTTATCCCCGGCGGGTTTCAGCTCATGGTGTATGACCTGACCGAGCACTTCGAAGTCCACACTGAACCACATCTCAAGCCCACACTCGTCTATGTTGTTGTCTTTGATCCACACTAGCGAGTTATAGAACTCGGGGTCAATACTCTCTATGTCTTTCATAGTAAGCTTCTTGTTCAACATTCTCTTGTAAAACGGCATCGTGAATCCAGAATATATGAATCTGCCATGATACAAAGCCATCGCAATGAACCTCCCTATAAACTTGAAATACAGCAAATGATCCGGATTCACGTAGCTAGCTGGATTTATCTGTAAACTGTAGTTGTTTTTGTTGGCGTACTCGAATAGACAGTACATTGGGTTCAAAACTTCATGTGACAGCAGGAAAAACCATTCTCTGCTGACGCCGCCGTAATCCAATCCTTCCTCTCCTCTAAATATTATATACAATCGTCTACGCAACTCGTACGCTGGTAACCTCATGATCTGAAAAGAAAATATACTTATCAATATGTATGAATCGCAACTCTTCTGGGATTTTCCCAAAAAAGAAGGCATTCAAAAAGTATAAAAGTTTCTACAGACTTATCAAAGCGCGATTGGTATATACCCTGTAAAACTTCTTGAGCAACGACAATAGACAAGAAAGCCTCTTTGTAGTAATTTTATATACAAGAAGTCTACTGCGCATGTTTATTTGTCTGTGGTTTTGCTCAAGAAGTTTGCCTGAAAAAAACAAAACTTATTACTATGTATGAAATGCAACTCTGTTCGGGATTTTCCAATGAAAGAAGACGGATACTTCAAAAAGTTATAATTAAAGTTTCTACAGAGTCATCAGAGCACGTTTCGTCTGATTACCTCTGCCACCTCTAAATTTTTATGGCATTCTTATTTCAGTATGAAAGATATTTCCGAATATTATAAATATACTTTTATATGTGAACTGAATAAGACAGATTTTTTTGTTCCAATAATAAAATAGAAGTAAGGTTAAAACAATGTTTGTAGTCGTCACGTCATGTCTGTATATTTATAAGATAATTACTGTTTACTACAGGGGGACCGTCTGCTCATTTTGTAAGAAAACATATTATTTCATATAAAAACCAAATATGTTGACCACCCGACAGATAACAGTATTTTGCAGACTAATCTAAGAATATTACTTTCTACCATTGTGACGAGTGATAAAAATGATTATCCACTGTAAGAGGTTATTAGGAAAATTAATGACGTAAGCGATAAAAATTCTGATATGCTTAGTATATGATCGCGCACGAATATATTAAACTGTTTTTCTTTATCTATAACCACATCACCAACAACATTGCAGATGGTTAAATCATATTTTACTAAAATATAACTTAATATTTATTACTGAATACAATTACGAACATTAACTGTTATTGTACTCGAAATAGAAAACAGTTACTCTAAACGGGTATGCAACATTATTAATTGATAACAATGACCTTGTAAAAAAGAAGGTCATTAGTTGCTAAAATTGTTATTATTAGAAAGTATTGCAGGTAAAGTCCTTGTCTGGACAACATCCTTGATCCAAGCAATGCCAAATGTGATGTTATTGAGATTGGACTACGGATGTGGACTAAAGTATATTTATATTTAGGCTATAATATATCAGTTATGTATCTACACTAACTTATCATGTACTTTCACTCCTACTATGGAACAATTTGTGATGTGAACTGTATTATGTAAATAATAATGTTATCCTTATTCGTTCGAGGTTATTTATCTTCGATGTTATTGTTAATGTGATAGATCTGTTCCTATAGATCGCCTAGCTAGACACTCCCTTCAAAGTTATATTGTAGTGTCAAATTTTCTTCTTCACTACGGGCGTTGCGTAATCAGGTCGTCCAATTGACACTTATTTTGCACTAGCGGCCGCCCGCGACTAATGCCGCGTTAACTTATTTTTTTTTGAAAGCTCCTCAAAATACTAACACTCTTCCGGCATAAACTGTATCCTATGTCTCTTTCCAGGTAATAAACTACAAGTGCGCAAAATTTCATCCTGATCCGTCCAGCCGTTTTTGCGTGATTGAGTTAAAAACATACAAACTTTCACATTTATAACATTAGTAGGAAGTAAGTAAGTAAGAGTGTGTGCTATGTTTGTTTGATACAAACCTGATGATAGGAATCTTCGAACAGGGTCTGTCTGGACAACGTAATTTTGATGTGACTCGGTAATGCGTTGCTTTGGCGTAGATAACGGAATTGACTAAGTTTCCATCGGAAGGAGCGTTCGTACGCCCTGGGGACCCCGTAGGCGCCCCGGGCCGGGGGTCATGGAATGTGAATGTGTGCTATGTTTGTTTGACACAAACCTGATGATAGGAATCTTCGAACAGGGTCTGTCTGGACAGCGTAATTTTGATGTGGCTAGGTAATGCGTTGCTCTGGCACAGATATCGGAATTGACTAAGTTTCCATCGGAAGGAGCGTTCGTACGCCCTGGGGACCCCGTAGGCGCCCTGGGGCCCTTTCGGCGCCCCGGGCCGGGGGTCCTGGAATGTGGTGGTGCGCGTGTTGTGGTCCACGAAGTATCTCGTGCCCTCCTCTGTGAATCTTATCTCCCAACCTGGAGGAAGAGCCTCTTCTGGCGCGCTCACTTCTTGACCCTAGTATAGTATAGAATGTTAAAACTCATTATTATTATCATAGTAGTCGAATACAACCAGGACTAAAATAATACATATTTAATATAGCACAGAGGCAGAGATATTGCAAAAAAACAAAATTGATGAGTCCTTAAGGACTGATGGCAATTCAGTATATAAATACACCTGAGGCCTACGCATGTATTTTGACTGCCGCGTCGATTAGGAGAATTCAACTTTTCGAATTCGATAATGATTCGTGCTAAGGGTACGGAGCAGTTAAAATTCGTGCTTGGGCCTCTGAGTTATGTATGTTAGTTTTTATTTCAACGAACACTATTCCACGACTTGTTTGGATATAAGCGGTTAGTAATGGAATAACACTAAACTATGTTCCACATTATTTACTAAACATCGATAACCAAAAATTTCATTATTAGTGTTAGTTCGACTATGACATTAGCCGACAGGCAGAGTTAAGAGCTAGCACACATTGAGCCACTGATCGCGGTCACTGAACGCCGCTCTAGTAGCTTAGTAGCAGCCACTGAAACGTTTAATTGCGCCGAAACTATACAAAGTATATGAAAAATCTCTACCACAGCTTGTGGACGCGTTTTGGTGGCCGTCGCTAGTGGCTCAATGTGCACTTGCTCTAAGGGTCGCCGCACACGGGCCACACGCGACAGCCACAAACGCCGCCACAAGAAGCTAGAAGCGGCTACAATGATAGCTGAAGCACGCGACAACTACTTCTGGCCGGTGGTCGTTACTTGCCGTCGGTGCCTGCTACTTTTTTGAACACATGCGTGCCGTATTATAATGGACTCTGACGAAGAAGGTTTGAAGATGGGGAATCGCGCGAGTGGCGTGTGGCGGCGTTTTGTATCGTTGTATTAGTGGCCGATGCGAGCCACAAGAAGCAAGCAACGACGATTTGTATTTGATTTGTAGTCCATACAAAATGTATGAAAACTACAGGGAATATGCCGGTGGCGGTGTTTTGTAGTTGTGGCCGGTGGCCCGTGTGCGGCATCACTAAAACATCGCATCACCTGTGTACGCGGGTCCTCCCACTGCGTGGTGCGGTTCTTATGATTGACGTAGTAGACGCGGCCGTCGGGCTGCACTCGCCGCTCCCAGCCGGAGGGCAGCGCGCCCAGCCCGTCGTCTAAGGCCGCCGCCGCCGCCGCCGCGCCCGCGCCCGCTGGCGCCCCCGCTACCGCACCCGCCACCGCACCCACAGGCACTGGCGCCCCGACACCGCCCATCGAGCTCGCTGGACCGACGCCGATCGCTATACCACGCAAATCGACCATTTTTAAATTGCTTATTAATATAATGTTTTTTAAGCTATATAGTGCATTTAACAGCTACATGTTTAAATCTAAAGAAAAGATTAATAGAAAAAAATCCACGCGGACCAGGAAGCAGACGGGACTCGAACCATAATTACTATAATTGCTATTTCTTCTTTCAAATATTTAATACTTGTAAAAGTATTCATTTGACATTGTGGGTTACCTACAATGCGAAGGGATGGCGCTGCCTTGCAGCCTAAGGATAGAGAAAATTCGATTCAGCCGTCAGGGCCGCGGTAGCTTAATGGTCAGTGCATTCGCCCGGATAGCGAAGGGTGCGGGCTCGAGTCCCGTCTGCTGCCTGGCCCTCGTGGATTTTTTTTATTTAACTTTTCTTTAGGTCCTTATTAACATTTTCAATGAAGGAGAGACTTGTGAAAAAGAAACCAATGATTTTATGTAGTAACTAGCTGATCCAGCGAACTTCGTACCGCCATAAAAATAGGGGCAGGTGATAGAAGAGAAAATTTAGGGTTGTATGTATTTTTAACACAATATTTTATTTAATAAAAAATATTTTAGGGGTGTGTAATGTAGTGTTCTATCATTTTCCTGGGATAAAATTCCTTTTAACCCCTATGAGAACACTACGTTACAATACCCAATAGTTTGAATTTTGGCGCGAAGGCGCGTTGTAGGTTTTAGAACACTACGTTACAGGTGGACAACTATTTTCACTTAAGGATATGAAAAATAGATATTAGCCGATTCTCAGACCCACGAAATATGCAAATAAAATTTCATAAAAATCGGTCGGGCCGTTTCGGAGGAGTATGGTAACTAACATTGTGACACGAGAATTTTATATATAAGATTAATAAAGTCAACGGGTCGTACGAATTCCACTGACACCTGGCAAACAGAATGTTTCGAACTTAAAAGCTAATTTATAAATCGATTATTAGATAAAATTACAGTTTCGTTAAATTTGATTTGTGGATGTATTTACATAGAGAAAAGTCTTCCGAGCCATTGTTCACAGAGATTGACTCACTTCTTAATATTCATGCATATTTAAATTATAGTGCAGCTTCCACTAAAACCAGACGACGGCAACTCCTGCATCGGTCACACGACACGCAGTCTGAGGATCAAGATACCGCTAGTTAAAGCGTGTCGTGCGTGCGGGTTTTAACCGTGGGCACTCTCAGCTGCTTCACGGCCCCGCCGCCGCGCCGACCTTTTTGATATGATGGTGCAACTTGAACCACAGCAAACCCAATATTATCTATATCACGTGAATATCAATTCAAGATATAAACCAGTTTTCATCATTTAGAAATTACTATCAAAAAAACCGGCCAAGTGCGAGTCGGACTCGCGCACCGAGGGTTCCGTACAAACCTGCAAGGTTTACAAAGTTCGTTCATTACGACAATCGAGTCATAACTATGGTATTTTTATTGCAAAATGAAATTCATAACATTACAATGGGGAAAGATGGAGGAGCATAAATTTAAGACAAAGATCTCTTTATCGTTTAAGTAATCCCTTATTTTATATTAACACATATCATTTATCTATAATATAACTGAAACACTTATACTAGCCTTGCAGCAGACTTGCGAAAGTTCTTTTATTAAAGTTATTTATTTACTATTTAGAAATCTGGTTCAAAAATATTAATTAAGTATTTTTGAACCAGACCTGTAAATGGTGACTGAAAAAGTTATGAATAGTACCACATTGAACATTGAAGTTCGAAAAAACGTTATCAATAGTTGTACAACTTCGTGTAGTGCTACTGTTTATTAACGGAAACATGTTTATGGATGAAAAATATGTGGAAATTCCATTTTGGGGATTCATTCTAAAAGTGGTCTTTAGGTTTTAATTCCCTTGCGTGTAGTTGCGAGTTTCAAAATATGCGGTATCAATGGTTGTACTTTTGCGTTTTTGCGTTGACTTAGAATTTTTTTTTTTTCACGGGTTAAAGGCAATTAGATCTAAGTATTTGATATGAATTTCAACTTGATAGCTCTACGCGTTCATGAGGAAAAAAGTAATAAGTTTATATTTATTAAAAAATATATATTTTGTAATGTAACTAAAAATTTAAGGTTTTCGGAATTTTTCCTTTATGTGTGCTATAAAACGTTGCTTCATGCCAAATTTCAAGATTCTAGGTCGACTGGAAGTACCCTTTAGGTTTTGATTCCCTTGCGAGTACTTACGAGTTTCAAAATATGCAGCTTAAATTGCTGTTTCTTTTGATTGCGTTGACATAGAAGTTTGATTTTGTTACAGCTTAAAGGTATTATAGACTTGAGTATTTGGTATGAATTTCAATTTAATACCTCTACGCGTTTATGAGGAAATGGGTAGTAAGGTTAAAATTATTAAAAAAAAATATATTATGTGATGTAACTAAAAATTTATGGTTTTCGTAATTTTTCCTTTATCTATGCTATAAGACGTTGCTTGGTACCAAATTTCAAGATTCTGAGTTCACGGGAAGCACCCTGTAGGTTTTGATTCCCTTGCAAGTGTCGAAAATTTGCGGCACAAACGGCTGTATCTTTTGATTGCGTAGGCTTAGAAGTTTGATTTTTTCACAGCTTCAAGGGACAGTAGACCTGAGTAATTGATATAAATTTCAGCTTCATACCTCAACGCGTTCCTGAGAAAAAGGGTCTTGACAGACGGACGGACGGACAGACGGACGGACGGACAGACGGACAACAAAGTGATCCTATAAGGGTTCCGTTTTTCCTTTTGAGGTACGGAACCCTAATTACCTTTTATGTTTATCGCCACTACACGTTTTGCGTAACAGTTTTGTTGATAACATGATGTGGCATAAGTGATTATGATTTGCTTGTTTTGTACTTTTCTAGATCACATAAGTACTATATTAGTCTATGCAGGAACTATATTATCGTTATGGTAAATATCTTATGTTTTGTATCACATACTGCTAACTGTTCTCTGTAAGTTATTGATTCGTTATGTAATAAATAATTGATATTTTTTATCGAAATACTTTTACATCGATAAGTATATTGGGTAGATAAAAATCATTATGTACAAACCTAAATGTTTCACCTGTGACCTTGTCAGCAGTGCAGGTTGTAACGAATGTGTTTATTCCATTCCTTACGTATATCAACTCTTTTTAGCATAAATTTACATACATAACTTTACGCCATATAAAACATCAACGGAGTATCTGATTATACTCTGATGATATTTTTGATGCTTTACTGATGTAAAGTAACAAAAATGCATCTCTTCCATAATCACATCAATACTCGATGACGTCACATTTGGCAATGGTGGTTTACAAAATACTGTAATGATTATTAATCTATACCAAAAGTTATACATGTGATAAGCTAATACTGTTTCGATTATATCAGACAAAGAGTTCACTTCCATTTAAACTAAAGGCAATCAGAATATAGCTTTGAACTATTTTACCTACCCATAATTTCCTAAAAGTACAAAATATCACTACATAGTATAAAGCAACGTCGCTTCCCGCTGTCTGTCTGTCCCATGAATGTTTTTTTATAGATAGAGTGACTCAAGAGGAATGTTTATATGTATAATACAAGCATGATATAGTAGAGAAACACTGATAACTTTAGAGGTTTTTAATGTAAGGTCGTAATAAACACATTTTTTTACGCTTACATTGCAAACGCGGACTGAACCCTACGAGATAGATCAAAATATTGTACTACAGTATTGTACACCTTGAAAAGGTCTACAAAAAAGTCCGTGATGGTATATGTCTATCTCTTAGGGATAACCCATAATAACCATTTTTTATCCTTTGCTTATTACAAGAAAATAATGGCTTATTTACGAAAAAGCGATGTTAAGCAATACAGCATTAATCCTTATCCAATTAAGTACCTTAAATACATTGTGCATGTAATATAGATCAATATGGCCCTTTACAGTATGTAATTTAAATGAATATTTTCGAAGATATTACAGATTTAAAATGCAGGGACATAGCGGTTGCGGCGGTACCGACCATATAAATAGTGCGTCGAAGGCCATCATTCCCCTCTCGGGGGATGATTGCTTCAGATTAAGCTTGTAAGGACCTTCCGGCCATAATCATGAAGTACGGGTGTCTTTTAGTCAATAAGAGACTGACATAACCTTGCAGCCGGCTAAACAGTATCCATGAGGATTTCTCACCCGCTCCCCCGCCTTTCTTTTTATTTATACGCAGGCAAAAAATACTATTTACAGACGACGGCGCCATTAAGAGGCACTGCACTGCACAAAACCTGCTTAATCCTATTTTCTGTAAATGCAAGACGGATTGTAGTAAAAATTGTGGCTGTCATAAAGTGGGATTTTGTTTTTCGCCAGTATGCATCAATTGTCAGGGTCAGCCTTGCTGAAATATTGAAAAAATACAACAGATGAAATGAAAATATTTATGATATTAATGAAGAGACAATTGTTGCATCCCTTTTCTTAGAACAGTGAATAGAAATTCTGCAAGAAGAAGAAAATGAAGACGAAGAAATAATTGTCGGAGAAGAATTAGACAATTATCTAATATAATAACATTTAGAAGAAAACAACCTATTCCACTTTGATCATTAGCAATATAACGATTCTATCAATCAATAGGATACGATCTGATCAAACTTTCTTTATTACAATACCTACTGGGGAAACTTTGAAAAAAATCCGCCAAGTACATTACCTCATAGGTGGTGCATATTATGTAAAAAATGAATTTGTAATTATTAAAACCGCTATATCTCACGACTCACGTGAGAGAAAAAGTGACCAGACCATTTTTGTAGAGAATTGTATGGTCTACAACTTTCGTCTGACCTACTTTTACGACAAAACTTACCGTTTTCAAGAAAAATGGAAAAAGCACAATTTTGTACGTTTTAGTTGTTTTTTTTTTTGCAGAAGTAGGATCGAAGGGGATTTTTGACATTTTATTTATAATGATGTATTTAACGTCTCTGCCAATTTTCAGCTCTATGCGAATTATTCCTAAGTCAAATGTCTATTTTGACTGGACTATAAACAAACTCTTCAGCTTTATATTTATATTGTACTAGCTGTGTCCTGCGGTGTTACCTGCGGTTTATAAGGGATATTTTCCCGCAGTAAAACGTAGCCCATGTGTTAATCCAGGGTGTCAGCTAACTCCATACTAAATTTTATTAAAATCGCTCCTAAACGTGTAGAACTAACAAACATACACATATACAAACGCCTTTATAATATTAAGTATGATAAACATTTACAATCAGCTTTTACTTATTTCTAAAAGTTACTTTAATTCCATTATTAGGTGCTAAAATTCAGTCGATAAAATCTATCGTAAATGTAACATGTACGACGTAAGACACCACTAAAGTAGGTGCAATGACCTTGTACTGCGTGCGGCCACGTGCAGGGCTCTGTGATCCACGCGTCATTCTTGCTCAATCGTACTACATTTCGTGTTTTGAATGTCGTAGAAAAAATAGCGAGTGTACTTTGTCAGCAATGAATATTTTTGTAGAAATATATATGTTATTTATCGTTTAATTAATATTTCTCGATTTTTTGCTAAAATATCAGTCTAACTAAGAAGTTTTATACTTACCGATGAAAAGAAATTCCTGCTTTGAGTAGATTTGATGATTGACTCCTTACTTTGCAAGTAATTACGGCACACAAAGGCATATTTTAAGCGGTAATCACAATACTCTCTCACTGAGCGTTCACGAGCAACTAAACGACGCGATCGGACGTTACGGTCAAGTTATGAGCATTTGCTCATAACTGTGACGCGCCTGCCCCGCCCACAAGGCCATTCTAACCTCTTTCTGTGTTCTGTGATGATTTCAATTATTTCATTTATCAACAAGACTGTGCACAAACGTGTGATCTTAGCGTTTTGTGTTTCCCATACCATTTTTAGTTCTTACTCTTTTGTCTCTAATCCTTAGCAGTGAAAAGGGTTATGCACCCATTTCACTGCCAAGCACTATTAAAAACGGCCTCGTGCGAGTTGCCTCACGCACGAAGGGTTCTGTACAACAAACCGTGAAAGGAAAAATCATTTGTTTTCGTCACAACTTACAGAGTACATTTGAATCAGCGTTTTCAGTATTTGTTGATTAAATACAACATATGGGACATCCATCATATACAAAAATTTCACATTCCTACCTAGTTCCGATTTTGAGATAGATCCTGTAACAAAAATGGTCTTAAAATAACAACTTAGACGGCCCCCCATTTATTTGTTTTTGAAAAAATATATATCCTACGCAAAGAGCTTTAGATAATGATACAATGTGTTAAATGCTGAGGTAAAAAAACATCGTCCCCTTGTAATATCGTGTTCATGTAAGGGGAATCGTCATTTTCTTTTTATAGATAGGTCCGACAAAGGTGGGGACCTGATGTTAAGTGAAGGTGAAGTCCAGACGCGATGATAGCTTAAACAGCAGTTCTATCTGCCACACCATTTAATTGATTTGTAGCCCCAGGCGCAAAAAGAGGGGAGTTATTTAAGTAAATATTCGGCTTTGGGCAAGATTCTACATAAAACACTGTGGGCATGTGGCCCATAATACCAACATTTTAGTTCTGTAACTTATTCCGTTTCCGATCTAGAGACCCGTGACATACAGTCGGACAGACAGACAGACTGACAGTCAGAACATTTTTACTCTTTGGGTACGAAAATTAAAAAGATATTAGATGTGGGTTCTTCATCGCTTCTTGCTGATCATCAGCATCGCGAAACTCACGGTTCTACGCGGCGTCGGGCTCAAGCTCAGCTACGCGTGGGCCGGCGGCTGTGACAGCGGGTAGAGGAAGCGCTGGTTGCCCTGCGCGACCACGTGGCGCCGCTCGCCGCGCCAGTCTGTGTCGGGCCGCTGCCAGGTGGTAGTGCTAACGAGGGATGTATATGTAACTCACGCATCTGTGCGGCGTCGGGCTCGAGTTCGGCCTGCGCGTGCGGCGGCGGCTGCGTCTGCGGGTAGAGGAAGCGCTGGTTGGCCTGTGCGACCACGTGGCGCCGCTCGCCGCGCCAGGGCTGGAAGCGGGCCAGGCGCTCCGTGTCGGGTCGCTGCCTAGCTTTAGTGCTAACGAGGGATGTATGTGTAACTCACGCATCTGTGCGGCGTCGGGCTCGAGTTCGGCCTGCGCGTGCGGCGGCGGCTGCGTCTGCGGGTAGAGGAAGCGCTGGTTGGCCTGTGCGACCACGTGGCGCCGCTCGCCGCGCCAGTGCTGGAAGCGGGCCAGGCGCTCCGTGTCGGGTCGCTGCCTAGCTTTAGTGCTAACGAGGGATGTATGTGTAACTCACGCATCTGTGCGGCGTCGGGCTCGAGCTCGGCCTGCGCGTGCAGCGGCGGCTGCGTCAGCGGGTAGAGCAAGCGCTTGTTGCTCTGCTACGCCAGTGCTGGAAGCGAGCCAGGCGCTCCGTGTCGGGCTGCTGCCAGGTGGTGGTGCTAACGAGGGATGTATATGTAACTCACGCATCTGTGCGGCGTCGAGCTCGAGCCCGACCTGCGCGTGCGGCGGCGGTTGCGTCTACGGGTAGAGGAAGCGCTGGTTGCCCTGTGCGACCACGTAGCGCCGCTCGCCGCGCCATTGCTGGAAGCGGGCCAGGCGCTCCGTGTCGAGCTGCTGCCAGGTGGTGGTGCTAACGAGAAATGTATATTTAACTCACGCATCTGTGCGGCGTCGGGCTCGAGCTCGGCTTGCGCGTGCGGGGGCGGCTGCGTCTGCGGGTAGAGGAAGCGCTGGTTGCCCTGCGCGACCACGTGGCGCCGCTCGCCGCGCCAGTGCTGGAAGCGGGCCAAGCGCTCCGTGTCGGGCCGCTGCCAGGTAGTGGTGCGCGTGTTGTGGTCCACATAGTACACGCGGCCGCGGGCGTCGCGCCGCACCTCCCAGCCCGGCGGCAGCGGCTGCGGCCGCTCCCACGACGTAGACCGCGTGTTGTGGTCCACGTAGTACCTACCCCACGTAGTTTACTTTTAAATATGTTAATTCATGACATAGTGTCGTAACGTGGACACTCACGGCAGCTTAAGTCAACAATTTCAAAGTAACGCGCTATGGAGAGGACTATGCTAGGTGTATCTTTGATCGCAATTGCAAAGAGGTGAAGCGACCAAGAACTAACATAACTGACATAGCTCACGGGATTTGCACGTTGAAGTGGCAATGAGCTGACCATATCAGCCGTAAAACCGCCAACCGTTGGAGCAGACGTGTTCTAGAGTGGAGATCGCGGTTATGCAATGATCTTTACAAGGTGATGGAAAGGACGAGAATAACGTAAGCGATCAGTTCCGTTCATTTGTAGAGGCCTACTTGGCCAGCAGTGGCCCTATATGGATGTGTATAGGTAGAACTCGATGGCGTTTGATTAGCGGGTCAAGTCAGCGATCATGGACGTTAATTAACTTTCGAAATGGCTGTTCATAGGATGAATGACAAAAAACGTGTTATCTCGGTGCTTTTGCAGGCAAGTTAAGACATTGCTTCCGACTGCATTTGCAGTCGTCAGCTCCAATCAATCTGCACTTACTCGCTGACCCCAAGTTGTGAGCTACTGCCCGATCTCCATATTTCATCTATAGAGAAGGCAGTTGATAATACGTGATGATGATTCAGCTCTCGTGCTTTGCAATCTATATATACAAAAACTCAAAGGTGACTGACTGACATAGTGATCGATCAACGCACAGCCCAAACCACTGGACGGATCGGGCTGAAATTTGGCATGCAGGTAGATGTTATGACGTAGGCATCCGCTAAGAAAGGATTTTGATCAATTCTACCCCCAAGGGTATAAAATAGGGAATGAAAGTTTGTATGAAACTTTGTCAATTTTAATCCAATCGGGCTGAGACTTTGCATGCAGGTATAAGAAGAATCATAGATGAATGTCATTGTGTATAATACAAGCCTCAGAACAAAAACTGTAGTCTACACTTCAGCTCTACACCGAAGCGAAGCGAGGGCGGCCGCTAGTACAAACATAAGTTGAACGATTTGAACCAATTAAACAATCAAGTGCAGGTAAAAATAACAAAAAAAAAATATTCATAAAAAACCGGACAAGTGAGAGTCGGGCTCGCCCACCAAGGGTTCCGTACAATTTTTTAAGTACGCAATATTAACGACCGTATATTTTTAAACGTTAACTTAGAAGTTTAATTTTTTCGCAGCTTTAAGGGACCACAGACCTACGTATATGGTTTAAATTTCAACTAGATACCTCTATGTGTTCCCGAAATAAAGAGTCTTGACAGACAGACAACAAAGTGATCTTATAAGGGTTCCGTTTTTTTCTTTTGAGGTAGGGAACCCTAACTATAAGGTTCCGTTCCTCAAAAGAAAATAAAGGAGTAGAACTCATTTTGTTTCAGCTATTGTGCCATAAATCCTGAACTCACTGTAAAAGACATAAGAACATATTGTTTTAGTCCAACTAGACTACGATCTTCAGATACTGTTTTCATAAACAAACAGCATCTCAAGATCGTACCCAAGATCGCTCTTAGATTTGAGAACGATCCATTAATACGGGCATAAATCTTGTTAGTGTGTAATTTTGCAGAGTTGTGTAGTGTTATCTCACCTTCGACCATAGACATCGTATCGCATTTCCCAGCCTGGCGGCAGGGGTTCTTCAGGGGTGCTGGTTGAAGCAGCAGAGGGCGGTGGATGCGCGGGCTCCGGTGCCGGCGCTTCCTGGTGCGAAGGCCCAGCGGCCGCGCCCGGCACATCCACGACCGCGTTACTACCGGGGATGTGCACTCCCCCGTTACTCAAAGGTGGAGGCCCAGGAGGTGGCTAAAGAAAAACCACTTTACAATAAATATTCAGTTTTTATATTTGACCACCTCCGTGGTCCAGTGGTTTGTACGCCGGGTTTCATGGTGTCGCCGACTCGAGAGGTCCCGGGTTCGAATCCCGGTGGGGGCAGATGTTTGTGTGATGAATACGAGCATTTGTACTCCAGTCATGGATGTTTAATATGTATTTCTATATAAATATACTTATATGTGTACTGTATATGTATTCTATCAGTTACCCTTGTATCCCATAACACAAGCCTTACAGCGCTTACTTTGGGGCTAGGCTAATTGGTGTGAGTGTTGGAAATATTTATTTATTTATAAGCAGACACAAAATGAAAATATACCTACAATAACTGGTCAAATACGTATTGGGCTCCATTGTTGACTATCCCAAATAGCAAACTTGTAGCTAGCATTTTATTTTGATAACATCAAAAAATATTAATAGTACTAATAGTCACTTTGCTAATTAATAGTAGAAGGAAACACCGATGGCCGGACACATAGAAAATTATTTGCAAAATGTAAAAATGTATTTTTATTGATATTTAGCAAACTCAAAACTGAGACTAATAGGTTCTTTCTATGGTTTTTAATATTGTTGCTTTACACAGGTTTTACATATCAGGAACTATATAGTGTTTTAATAAGTTTAACCTAATCTATGCCTAGCACATAAGCAAAAAGTGTTGTTATGAATGTGTTAGTTTATGAATGATGAAGAGAAAAAAAAATGAAATCTTCACCTGACCCGTAGCTTAAGCACCACAATTTACATTACCTAGATGACGTTTTTTATCAAACTCCATAGTAATTTTACAATTGAGAGTGAAAAAACCGCGTTATATATCATACCACAGTGTTCATGCTAAGGAAGCTTATGTGGTTAAAAATATGTTTAACAACTCTTAATTCTAAATTCACACCTAATATGCAAATAAGAAAGCAGAAAATAACCCAAATAAAATTTTACTATATATCTGTTTTTGAGACAGATTAGTTATCTAGTGTTATTGTTGATCGAAGGACAGTCTTTAAGTTTCTCGAAAAATATTCTCATTAATTGGATAGAATCCATATAATTGTATCAAAAAGATTGCAAAATAGGCAATCTCTAAAATACTGAATTAACAAATTAAAGATAAAATAAAATAACAAATAGATTTATTAATATGTCCTTGGCTAAGACTATCTTGATGTTATAATATTAGCATTGGACCCTCCTAATTGGACCTTACCTACAAAAAAGTGCCCATTCGACCTCCTATCAAGAAATTGGTGCCCATTGGACCCTCAAAGACGTACTTACCGACACAATGGGACCTATTGGAGCTCTTAACTATTTGACTAATTCTTTTGGAACGGTAAAGTACAGTCGTGTAGTAAAGTAACATTGTAAAAGACATAAAAACACAAAGGTTATAAATCTAAGTATTTAATCAACATATTTATAAAATTCAAAACTTTAATCATCAGTAACAAACCAATATAAATATTTACATATAATATAATAAACAAATCACAGATTTTTTACTTTACTTCTAAAACCAATAGAAATTATTTTAATTATTTTTTATCAAATAGCTTACCTAAATTATACATATGGTTTTTTATATCACACAGATTAAGCACAATTGTTATATATTCTAAATATTGATTAAATACATAAAAGCACGAAGGTTATAAATGTAAGTATTTTAAAAGCAACATATTTATAAAATTCGAAACATCAATCATCAGCAACAAACCATATAATATAATAATCAAATCACAGATTTTGATACTTTACTTTTAAATATAAATGATTTTCTTGCAACTATAGCTTAGACAACGTTTGTTGTTGATTTTAGGAAACTTTTTCCGTTTGTCAACTATAAATTAAAAAAGAAACTTATTTTTGCAGATATTGAAAAAAGTTATATTTATTCAACTACAAACGATTTTGGATATATGGCTGCAAGAAATAGGTTTCTTTTTCAATTTTGAAGCAACTACAAACGAAAAAAAAATTCTACAATCAACTATAAACGATGTCTGAGCTATAGCTGTAAGAAAACCGTTATTTTTTAAATTTTGAATCAACATCAATCGAAAAATAGTTAAGAAACGATGATAATAAGAATCATAAGAAAATCGATTTTCCAAAGTCGGGTGCTAGGTTCACACAGCTATGTATAGAAGGCCTAAAACGTTAAAGTAATTAGGTCACAACACTAACCTAACGCACTATGGTAAAACGTTCATTGGTTTGTTGTTTTTTTTGGTGAGAATTGCAAAATCCGTCTGCCATTTTATATCCAACTGGTTAGGCTAAGTTAGGTTTGGTCAGGATAAATTAAGACCAAAATCTGTTTATTTTACATAATACCGGCGGACCAGCAGGTATTAAATGCAATCCCTAGGAATTGTGCCAGCAATAGTCCTGCTCCCGGTCAACTTACTCCTTCAGGTAGCTTTTTGGGATGTAAACAATAGACAAGAACGAGAGAGAATATTGTTTATTTGTTGTTGTAAGATTATTTTCTAGCTGAAACCTAGGTCATAAATCGGAACGAGACAGCAATATTTCTCTCTCTCCCACATATGAGATCGGCGCCATCCTTTTGTTTAAGCACAGAGATTGCTTGGGCTTAGAATCTATAACCTTCCTTTCATCAGGTGCTTAAGAGGAGTATAAAAACACTCAACCTCCCTCAGAATTTCAGACATAGATCAAAAGATAATGTCTTTGCAAAATCCACCGTCATGTGCTTAGATTGTCTGGATCCTGTTTTAAGGAACTTTGAATCAATCGAACTTTGTTCGATTTGAAAGGTCTTGTGGATTTGGTGGTGAGCTGTAGAATATTTATTGGTCAGTGTACGATCGCCATATTGAGTGAAACCTTTTTACATTAATGATCATTAATGTAATTAATGATCAGTCCTTTAAACCTAAAGCACAAAAATATTTAATGTCCTTTAAAGATAAAAAGAAAGAAGAAAGAAGAGAAATTGAAGTATTATCATTGTCACTTGCATCCTTATAACCCACAGAATAAAAATATATGTCAGTAGTGCAATATTTGGTTTTGGATCCTTGTCAATACGAATAAAATAGTAATAAACATTATACAAATTATATTTTGATTACTTTTGATTCACTTATATTTTCTAAATATCTCCCTTATATCTTATTGTACGAGTTCTTTACTAAAAAAATCCAAATGTATTAAAAATTAGCCTTTCTTAAAGGTAACTATCATCTGTCTGCGTCCAGTATTTAAAGAGCAATAGACCAAAAACATTTTTTTAATTTTTCCTGAAAACTTACATTTTTGCAGTTATCTTTTTATTCTCCGGGGACTTAATTCGAAGAAAAAAGGTAACCAGATTTCTTTATATTTTTTTTAGGACTACTTACTGTTAGGAGTCAGTACTTATACAGTATTTAGTGAGTGTCTTTGTGTAATACCTACTATTAATTTTATTTTTGTCTGCAATTTTCTACATGACTGTACTGTGCCTAACAAAACTGTCAATAAGGTTCAACTCAACTGGCAGTAAGGTTATAAGTAAGGTTATAATATCTTGAATGTCCAATGGGCACCAAAAAAAGAGGTCCAATGGGCACATTGAATATAAAATTTTTAGAAGGTCCAATGGGCACCAAAAAAGAGGTCCAATGGGCACATTGAATATAAAACTTTTTAAGAAGGTCCAATGGACACCAAAAAACAGGTCCAATGGGCACTTTTTGCTTTTGGGTCGAATCTTGAGGGTCCAACGGGTACTAGACCGATAAAACTATCTTAGAATTACTATATTTAAGTACAATTAACATTCTAAAAAAATTAAGATACCAAATAAATTTTATATTCAAACAACTGACTAAAGCAGATTCTTCTAAAATTTTTGATAATGTGATAGCAATCCTTCATCATTATAGTTTTATTTTTGACTAATAAATTTTAAATAACTTACCCTTAAATTTGGTGTGCGTAACATGGATCTTAACGTTTCTGGGTTATTACGTCTAATGCGTGCACGAACACCTTCATTGGAATTACGTGAATTTGTTACTTCTCCAAGGGCTTCATGAGATTGATGTAAAGTAGCAGGATCAATTCTTAATCCGTCAAAAAGTAGAACTACTTCTGCTGTTTTAGATTCAGCTGAATTAGGTGTATTTTCTTGTGATGCTGTTTTGATCATATCTAAAATTCATAAATGATGTGTCTATAATGTAATATTACTTTTTAGTCCAGGAAATGAAACATTTTGGCTCGCAATTTTGTCGTCCACCATGGATTTACTTGAAATTTTCACAAAAGGTAGGGAACAGCTCAAGGATCATTTTCTATATGCCGCTGTACGATAGAGCCTTAGGGGTGGTTGCCACCCCATCTCAGGGGTGGAATTTTTTTATTAAATTTTAACTGTAGGAATCGACGGAAAAAGTAATTCTAAGAAAAAAATGTTATATGCGTTTTTTTCGTAAAACTAATGTTTTTCAGTTTTTCAAAGTTGAAACAGATTTTTGACGAAAAATCGACATTTTTAAATGGTTTTTTGCGAATAACTCTAAAAATATGCATTTTATTAAAAAAGTGTTGAGAGTCAAATTGTAGGTTTTAAAAAAAAAAGAAAACAATGCGTCAAATGCATAAATTGGAAGATTTACAGCGAAATAACGAGAAAAAATTGCATTATTCGAAGCAAGCTCATAAAATCTTTTCTAAAGTATTTAATTAGAGCTTTCAAACAAATAAAAAACAATGTCTCTAGCATGAAAATTGACCGACTTATGATCAAAATAAGACCGGTACTCGCTTTTTTCTACGAAAATAATTTGTGAAAATAACCCATAAAGTACCCCCTAATTAAAATTGATCGCCACCCTTCTGTAATTCTCTTTATATATGTACTATTAATACACCCACGAAGTTTGACCAATTTAAAGTGCCAAATGAAAAAAAAAAATGAAATTTAAAGAGAAAACCGTTCTCTTTCAATTTCGTGTTTTCCACCATTTTCTTAAAAATATCTCCCAAAATACTAAAGATACGAAAAAAACGATATAGTATTAAATTGTAGCTTTTTTAATGACAAAATTTTCCCGGTGTGCATATTTTTTGTACAGTGAATATTCGGCGAGATATAGCCGTTTACGCTTGAAACTTTCCCCATTTCAAAATTAAGGGATCTTATGTAATTTAATTCACATATAGTCCAGTCAATGAAAGCGTAACTTTGCCATTTTGAGTTGATCACCTGCAACCAACGCGAAAATTCCGTAAGGGTTCGTAGATTAATATACTAAAATTGCAGGGTGCTGCATTGACGGCAACGTGTGCAAAAAAAATGTGAAATGGTGGAAAAACAAGTTTTTCGTCAATATCTCGCGACTGGCTGGGAAAATAGAAAAAGTTCCTAGGACAAAGTTGTAGAAAATTTAATTTCCTATAAAAAAGGTATCAACATATTTTCACGTATCTCCCATAGTTTTTGCAAACAATGCAATGAAAGGTGCAAAATAAAAAAATAAAAAATACTATTAATGGTTTTCTTTTCATTTTAAAGCGATCCTACTGGTCAAATTCAACAATCACCACTTACTGAAATATTTAAGTGAAATAATTTCGGGAGTCCACTGAAATGAAAAGTGTCTACTGAAATGGTAAAAAATGACCACCGAAATGATATAGCTAAGAACAACGTCTTTGTAATAGAAGGGTTCTCTACTTTGAATCTAAATATATTTCCTTATTCTTTGTAAATATTTTTGTTCGTTATTTTAGAATTATTAATTGTTACTCCTATTAATAATAATGGTTTATTTATCTTAAAAGTTACAATTGCTCCTATATACTAATTTGAGGAATTAAATCTTAAATATATTTCACATATTAGAGGTTCGTTGACGGCTGTACTAGTATTAAATGTGTCACAACCATCAGCGACTCCTTCTATGATATATATATATATATATATATATATGAATTCTTATTACTAATTATAATTATTAATAGGTTCATTTTCAAAGTAACGGACAAAGCGCGTTTAGAAAGCGAGAAGTTTATTAGTTATTAAATCGTCCCCTTAGTGCCAAAACCGATTATCTGCACTTTTCCCCTACTGAACTTTTATTGTACCAATCGACCAGTCTCATTAAGGCGCATCTAGAGGTAAACCCTTTAGACTCTACGACGCATACTTCCTGAAATAGCTAATGAATAAACAGAATAACTGCAAATTATTTCCAAAATTTTTTTTAAACCCATTCAAAACACTTAAGTTTGCAAGTTTCGGATTTAAACTCATTTTTCATGTAGACACTTTATTCTGTGAGATTATCCCGCTAAAGTTAGGTATCCCACGGTAATTGGCTTTGACTGTTTGAATTTTACCAGCTATTTTAATTTACTAGATGAAGTAAAAACTAACAAATCTGTAGCTTTTTGCATAAAACAATATATAGTATATTTGCGTTATATTTGAGGCAAGTAAAAGAAGATACCGAATTTCAATTTGTTTTTACTGAATTCCTTTTATTCGACGCTGTATGAATTACTTCAGTTAAAGTCGATTATCGGTGCTTACTCTTTTCTTTCACTGTAATTCATTAGCGTTAGTCATCGTTACTTTAAAATTTATGCTTCAGCTAAAACCAGCTATCCATGCTTAACCGTCTCTTCTGTACACAGATCGCGCGCTAGTGAGTGAGTTACTCACTTTTATTCATTCATTATTGAATAGCGCGCTGGGTAACACTGTTATTCTTTTGTTTAATTAATCACTAATAAACATTACTGGGTGAACTATTCTGCGTTTTTGGTTTAAAATGATAACTGCTAAGAAAGATGACGAAAAGTAAACTCAAAAAATGCCAAATAACTAAGTCATGTGGACTTACCCAACCAACTATTTCGCAAACAAACGACTTCGCTCCGCTTTAACTTTAATATACATTTTTAAACGAGATATTTTAGATAGGAATACTACTGCACCCGAAATATCGAACCTACATTATCTAGGTAAATGTACATAAAATTATTTAATATATCTATATTGACTCAAGGATCTCTAAAAACTTATGGATGTATAATTTCGGCGATACTGTCATTCGCTGGACTCTTATCGGCATTACAGTCTACCGAATCAATTGTCTCCATATTACTGAAATGATTTACTTATATAGTTCACCCAGTAATGTTTATTCGAGATTAATTAAACAAAAGAATAACAGTGTTGCCCAGCGCGGGATTCAACAAGAATGAATAAAAGTGAGCCACTCACTCGTTAGCGCCCGATCCGCGTATGGAAGAGATGGTTAAACATGGATAGCTGGTTTTAGCTGAAGCATAAATTTTAAAGTAATGATGACTAACGCTTATTAATTACAGTGAAAGAAAAGAGTAAGCACCGATAATCGTCTTTAGCTGAAGTAATTTATAAAGCGTCGAATAAAAGGAATTCAGTAAAAACAAATTGAAATTCGGTATCTTCTTTTACTTGCCTCAAATGTAACGCAAATATACTATATAATGTTTTATGCAAAAACCGACAGATTTGTTAGTTTTAACTTCATCTAGTAAATTAAAATAGCTGGTAAAATTCAAACAGTCAAAGCTAATTACCGTGGGATACCTAATTTTAGCGGAATAATCTTACAGGATATTTATTCTAAGTGTCTACATAAAAAATGAGTTTAAATCCCAAACTTGATTTCAGCGGTAATACACTTACAAACTTAAGTGTTTTGAATGGGTTTATTAGGTTTTAAATCAAGAATTTTGGAAATAATTTGCAGTTATTCTGTTCATTCATTAGCTATTTCAGGAAGTATGCGTCGTAGAGCATAAAGGGTTTTACCTGTAGACACGCCTTAATGAGACGGGTCGATTGGTGTAATAAAAGTTCAGTAGGGGAAAAGTGCAGATAATCGGTTTTGGCACTAATAGGACGATTCAATAACTAATAAACTTCTCGCTTCCTAAACGCGCTTTGTTCGTTATTTTGAAAATGTACCCATTAATAATTATAATTAGTAAGAAGAATTAATAGGAGCAACAATTAATTAATTCTTATTATAAAATAACGAACAAAAATATTTACAAAGAATAAGGAAATTTATTTAGATTCAAAGTAGAGAACCCTTCTATTACAAAGGCGATGTTCTTCGCTGTATCATTTCGGTGGTCTTTTTATTTACCATTTCAGTAGACACTTTTCATTTCAGTCGACTTCCGAAAATATTTCGCTTAAATATTTCAGTAAGTGGTGATTGTTGAATATGACCCGTAGGATCGCTTTAAAATGAAAAAAAAAACGATTAATAGTATATTTTCTTTTTTTATTTTGCACCTTTCATTGCATTTTTTGCAAAATCTATGGGAGATACGTGAAAATATGTTGATACCTTTTTTGTAGGAAATTAAATTTTCTACAACTTTGTCCTAAAAACTTTTTCTATTTTCCCAGCCAGTCGCGAGATATTGACGAAAAACTTGTTTTTGCACCATTTCCCATTTTTTATGCACCCGTTACCGTCAATGCAGCACCCTGTAATTTTAGTATATTAATCTACGAACCCTTACGGAAATTTTCGCGTTGGTTGCAGGTGATCAACTCAAAATGGCAAAGTTAAGCTTTCATTGACTGGACTAATAGTGTTATAGCTCCTGAAAAGCTCTACTATGTCTCTAAAATGAAGGAGCTAAAAAAACCCATCAATTTTTTTTTGGAAAAAAAACTTCAATGTTTTTAAGGGTACTTTTTAACTATTTTTACCCATATTTAGGTTTTTAATTTTATTTTATAATTTTTGATAATAAGGGGTAGTTTTACCCGTAAAAGCAAAAAGCGTACAACGGCACAATATAGAAAATGAACTAGAGGGTGAAATAACCCTAAACCCAAATTTTTGTACAAATCGGTGCTGGACGAAAAAATTGCGAGGTTTTACCCTTAGATTAGACAAAAAGGGTAGATACGGTACGCTCCTCCTTGCATCAAACAAAAACTGATCTGATCTCACGGCAGCGCGAACGGGACGGCGAGATCCGCGTCACTGCATTACCGACCCGAACGAAACAGCACGTTAAGTTTCAACGGCAGCGCGAACGAGACGGAGAGATCCGCGTTATTGCACTACCGACCAATCACGCGACCAGAACTCGACGTCACTACCGAATAAGATTCAAAACAAACAGCAATTTTTATGAAAAAATATATTTTATAGGTCTTACGAATGAAAAGTGATGCCGTGGGTTTTATTTTTAGTTCTTGAGCATTTTGAGCACTTTTTAAAGACACACTTAGGCATATAAACACAAAATATTGGCAATATTTCTTTTTGGCGTTCACATGTACGTCGTTTGCATGTCAAGTTGTGACTAAAGCGATTAGGGTCGTGAACCACACTTTAGGCGGATCACTTTTGTGAGGCTAGTGCCGTATCTACCCTTTTTTTTAATCTAAACTTTTACCATTTTTTTAGCTTCATTTCCTGGACTATTTAGATTTATTATATTATTATAAGACCCTAAATCTGAAATAAATGTAGGTATTCTTACCTATTTTTCATATGACACCACTTATTTGAATTTGATATACATTACCAAATCAAAATTGTGTAGCTCTGATTAGTTGAGGTTGATATAATTAGTGTCTGGATTATATTGTTATTTACTAATATATATATTAATCGATAGAAAGGAAAAACCAATATAAAGGTTAACAAGGTCATACCTTAAATAAAGCATAGTTACCTAAAGTTAACTCCACATTTTCACATTTTCCATTAAAATATTGTAGGATTTTTAGTAAATTAACTCTTTGTTCTCCAATAATATTATCTTTTCTAAAACTATGATGATCTGCTAATCGAAACAACAACTGTGACAAAGGTGTGACTAATATTGTAAACTCTTCTTTCCATTTGGGATGTAATGTGTTCTTTATTACTTCAGTTTTTTTTGATATTTTATCATCAATGGTTACTTGTAAATAAGGATTAGGTTTAAATAGTCCTGAGTTTCTGATGCTTGCTGATTCCACTAAATAAAGGTAAAATTGATTAGTAAAGGAAATTGTAGTTTCTATAATAACACTGGTCAACACTGGTTTTGCCACACGAACTTTGATAGCTAATTTCGTTTTATCAATTTACCCTCATTATTAAATCACAGTTGTCATATATCAATTAAGGCGATCACAGACGGTGAAGATGACATAATATTTTATCTTAAGATTTCATAAGATAAAATATTATAGCATATTAAACTATCACACACGGTTAAGATCCGATATATTTTAAAATCTTTTCACTCTCTTGAAATCGTTCCTAGGTGCCAGACGTTTTCTCTGTAAAACATTTTTATACAGGTGATCAAAAATAAGCAATACAGATTTGCTATTAGACTTATTGGACAGCTCATCAGACGATGATTCTGACCTGGAATTTGATATCAAAATTGCTGTAGCTCATTCGAAATCTAGATCAATTTGGATAGAAGATCACATTAAATTCAGAAAAGAACGCGGGGAATTTAATCTTTATGAAGATCTTTCAACGAAAATCAAATGTATTTTAGGAAGTCGAAGCAAACATTTCTTGCAATTCACAATCTGATAATATAATATCTTCCATATTATGAAAAAAAATCCCCGCCCCGCAGTCCGCACCGAGAACAGGAAAGCCCGTCACAGACGTAGCTACAATATATATTAATATAAATCATAGCAAGATATATTACAACATATTTTCAATATAAATTTTCGAGTGACCGCACACGCAGCTATAATATATATTTCTATAACGTCACCAAAATATGTCGACAGATATATTTTGGCATATTACTGTATATTTTGGTATATTAATATATATTTTGATATATTTTTATGGTACGGTATGTTCCATTTTTCACCGAACGCCTGCCAAAATATATATTATAGTACAGCACCCGTCTGTGGTAGTTTGTTCAATAAAATAACTCGATATATGAATATATATTATAGTTACGTCTGTGACGGGATATATTTTGGCATATTAGTATATATTTTTAATACGGAATGTTCAACTTTTCACTGAACGCCTGCCCGATCTCCGGCTCAAGCCCGTCACAGACATAGCTATAATATATATTAGTATGAATCATAGCAAAACATATTACAACATATTTTCAATATAAATTTTCGAGTAACCGCACACGCAGCTATAATATATATTTCTATGACGTCACCAAAATATGTCGACAGATATATTTTGGCATATTAGGGTATATTTTGCCATATTAATATATATTTTGATATATTTTTATGATACGCGATGTTCCATTTTTCACCGAACGCCTGCCAAAATATATATTATAGTACAGCTCCCGTCTGTGGTAGTTTGTTTAATATAATATCTCGATATATTAATATATATTATAGCTACGTCTGTGACGAGATATATTTTGGCATATTAGTATATATTTTTAATACGGAATGTTCAACTTTCCTCTTAACGCCTGCCCGATCTCCGGCTCAAGTGCGCACGAGCATTTCTCCCCCACCCTCCCTCTCCTAAAATACTCTGCAAATTTATTGGATGACAAAACACGATACAAATTAAATTCACCACAAGTTTTGTTTTGTTTTATATGCGACTCTACCCAGATGATTATATTTTTCGTTCCTGACCAGGCAACATGCATATCAAATTCACCATCGGAATCATCCTCTGAGAAACTTGCAATTAAATCTAAAAGTAGTGCTCTTGTCGAATTCATTTCATTCATTCATTGTAAGATTGATTATAACGTTATTTCAAAATTAAAACACCCTGTGCTAGAAAATAAGCTTTAAAACCGTGCGCTTGCAAAAACGACCGCAGACCGAGTGAGGGCGAAATATATATTATAGTATAGCTTCCGTCTGTGGTAGTTAGCTATAATATAATATATATTTCGATATATTAATATATATTATAGCTACGTCTGTGACGGGCTGAACAATCCTGTAAGTAGTCGTAGTATCTTTTCTTATTCAAAATATATATTTCGTATGTTAAGATAGTAATCTTAAGATGCGAAATATATATTTCCGTATCGCTTAGCATCTTATGATACTTAATATAAAAATATATGTTATCTTCGAAGTGTGTTATGGCCCATTGAATTGTACGGCGAAAGATATTCTATCATATGCTTAAAAATTAGTATATATAGTAAGTAATAGTTTCTTCACCGTCTGTGGTCACCTGATATTTTTTGTGATACGGTAATACTCCTAACTAGTACTAGTAGTAAATTAACAGAAACTCTTACAAGTAAATCGTTATAAAAATATTTGTCGTTGAACTTGAATACTTTTTTGTGATTTATTCACCCTGTGACCATGTCGAGGAAGTGTAATAATGATCCTAACTCTTTTTGTTATGTCTGCAGAGAACTTACATTCAAAAAACAATAATAATATTTATTTAGACCAGCATATAAGTAACATTACGTCTTATAAACTATGGACACCATATATGAGCTTAAGAATACAACGACGTAATTTTACGAATCTTGTGTTGGAGTGTAATCACCAATGTTTTAGTTTTTCTGTCGCCCATCAAGACAACTCCTGGGCCCCTCATGTCTGTTGCATAACGTGTGCGAAAAATTTTACTGACTGGAAAAAAGGTGCACGACCTATGCCGTTTGCTGTACTAATGATATGGACTGAACAGCGAGATCACGTTTCAGATTGCTATTTTTGTCTCACTGACATAAAAGGTATAAATTACAAAAAAAAAACAGTTATTTACCCTAGCTTATCTTCGGCTATAAGACCAGTCTCTCATTGTAACAAATTGCTAGAACTAATACCAGTTGCAACTACAACAACCATCCTTTAATTCATAATTCTGACGACGCAGCCTGAAACGGATGCGAAAGGTCATAAATAAATAAATCAGTGCACCTATACCGTTGAAACTTGTTTTATTTAAAAAAATACAATGTTATATGCAGATGTCTAAACATATCTGCCCAGTCTCCATGGAACCTGAATATAGTTCCAACATAGAGACAAAAAAAATACTTTAAATAACAATAAATTTATTAACGGTGTGCAAAGAAATAAACGCATGTTTTATCTCCAAGATTGACGAAGCTTAAGTACCATCATTTCAGCTCTTTGTACGAAATCCCAAGAACGGAAGATCTCCCAAGAAAAGATATGATTTGTGGTGTTCTATTTGGTAGCAAGCAGACCTAAATGATTTGGTTCGGGATTTAAATTTGTCAAAAAAAAGCAGTCAGAACTATTAGGATCTCGTCTAAAAGAATGGCATTTGCTACATCATAATACAAAAGTTAGCTATTTTCGAAACCGCGACCAAACACTTCAGAACGCATTTGTCTCAGGATGGAGATTTGGTTTTTTGCAATAACATAAATGGTATTATGAAAATGTTGGATATAGATTTTGATCTTTCTCAGTGGCGTTTGTTCATTGATTCTTTGAAAGCAAGTCTAAAAGCAGTTTAACTTCAAATTGAAAAAATAATTCCTTTAAAATCTGCGGTGATCTCAAAGTTGTTGTACTATTACTTGGACTTCAGCTGGGTTATACAAAATTTTGCTGCTTTTTATGTGAATGGAACAGCCGAGACAGGACTTATCACTATTTCAGAAAAACAAGGCCTATGCGTGTGTTATATAATAAACATCGAGATGGTCTTTGAAATCTGTTGTATAATTATTGAGAGGTTTTTGTAATCTAGTTTTTATTAAAAATACTATGAGAATCTAATGTTAACACTAAATTACATTATTTATCAGAATATTTCATAATATTTTGTTAAATAAAACGAAATTGCGGGTATTCAGCGAAATCGTTGTACACATGTTCTAAACGGCCTGAGCTCTAACCTTTGCGGGGATTCTGTATCAAGCCATCAGACCGAGCGGAGCTCTTAGTTGAGTATTGTTATTCAGCCTAAACAACCAGGGTCATGTGAGTCAAGTAATCATTTTCCTATTGTTGTTTATAACTTTTATTTAATAATAATAATAATATTCTTTATTGACATACACCTCACAGGACATACAAGACATTAAACATGACAGTGAAATCGTACACAATAGGCGGCCTTATTGCTAAACAGCAATCTCTTCCAGGCAACCCATGACAGTGAAATATAAATATTTAAATGATATTATTGTGTATTATCGCAAGTTATAATATAATAATATCCATTTGTTATTTCACAATAGAAATTACTTCTTTAATCTTATAAATTAAAATAAGAGGTTTAGATATTTGTGAGTAAAGATTTTATACTTTGTTATGATGTTTTAATTTAAATAATCAATAAATAGAGTACTTTAAAACATTTATAATTAAGAAGGTAGTTATTTTCCTTATAAAATAAAGAAATCTGAGTCTATTGAACAGTTTCATTTCAATTCCATTTGCTTTTATTGCTTTATAGAAGTTTCAAAGTGTTTATGAAATACATAAGTAATGGATCCTTTTTCTAACATGTGCATCGTTAGTTCCTGGGAAAAAAAACGTAAAGTATTTACCCCTTGTACAGCCAAATAATGTGCTTCTACCAACATTGCATATCAAATTAGGATTAATAATAAATTTTTTGAAGGCAATGGATCGCAATCGGATTTTTGTATGCACAGTGATGCAAAGATAAAAGAGGGTATTTTTGTTGGCCCTTAAATTAGGGAGTTAATAAAAGATTCAAGATTTGAAGAAAAAATAAGCAAATTAGAAAAATCTGCAAGGAAGGCTTTTATAAATGTTCTTGCAAATTTGTTAGGTAACCACAAGAGTGACAGCTACAGAGAGTTGGTTAGCGAGTGATTATTGTCATATCAAGCATTGGGTTGCAACATGTCACTAAAGAGGCATTTTTTAGACTAGCACCTGGATTTTTTCTGACCATTTAGGGGTTGTCAGCAACAAGCACAGTGAAAGGTTCCATCAGGACATTTCTAATATGAAAAAGCGGTACCAGGACAAGTGGAGCCCCAATATGTTGGCAGATTACTGCTGGACAATTAAAAGGGACCAACCAGAAGCTAAATATTCAAGAAAACCTTAGATTATTAAGTCATTTATAAAATAAATAAACTTTTGATTTATGAGATGTGTTTTTTCTTAATATTTTAAATTACTCAATAGAATAAAATCCTTGTCTAGCAAATTTTTTTTGACTATTTATTTTTTCTTACAATCACTAATTAAAGTAAATAATATTAAAAAAAGTCCATGTGGCACAACAAAGTTAAAATTTTGTTGACCAGTGTAAAACCTATTAAAAGAAATACACTATAAACTCCATAGATACATACACTTTAGTTATGAATAATATATAAAAGAATTACCTGTTAAACTCAATTGGTGATATGTTGACAAGGAAATGGGAGCAGTAAGTGTTGAAATAGTTTCAGTCATGATGAGTATTACCACTTCATATTAATACTCTTAAATGTGTGCCTTTAACAATCACATAATTAATTACATTTGTAATACAAACTTATTTTTGAATGGAATAAAGCTTACCTTTTTCTCTCACTGTTAACAGTGACAATGAAAATTACTCCAACTTATTAAGACATGTTTCACAAAATGTATATAAATAGTAGAAGCAATGATTAAAGATTGTAAACGAAATGTCTAACATTACACAAAGGACTTTTTGTGCAAGAATTAAAATATAGAATGAAATTATGTAAACAAATAAAGAAATACCTGTAAGTATCCACCCTTGTTTTCGATACAACAGGGATGGAAATACTTGTTCCCGTGTATTTTTTTGCGCTAACACGGTAATCCGTCTTTTCCAAACTATCTCATTATCACATTGCTTATCTTCCTGCAAAAACAAGGTAAGAAATAACGTACTGTGTGATGATTAATTAAAACATCAGTTCACAAATTTCCACTAAACACAATTAGACCACTTACACAATCAAGTCGGCTAAATTCGAATTATCATTTTAACAAATTAATAAACAACAATGGTAAACTTACGCTATTTAAAACATTAATTCCAAAATTACTCACTATTTTTTATCGTAATTTAGACAAGACCACATTCACAGACTATAGAGCATCTCCCTCCATGTCAATGTTTATCTCCTCACAAGGTTCCCAACTTAAGGGTTTTCACCTTAAATATAGGGAATAATTTAGAAGGATGGGAAATTTTTAGGTGTTATATATTTTTCAGGGGATGTTTTTGAATCTTTATATTTATTATTGATGTGAAAACTTCTTCAGACTAAATGAAACGAAAAAGCGACAATGGTATCTATTTTGGCACTTTTTTTTAAACTAAAACTAAATTTAACATTAGTATCATCTTTTCATTCTGTATAGGGAATGACAAGGATACACTGTTGTAAAATTTAAGTTTAAGTTTAGAGAACCCACTCAAAATCGACACCAGTATGTACCAAGGTATCCGTTATTTTGTCACTCTATGTAATGACGTTATTTTGTCACATGGCACTCGTATCTGCTATCTGTCATTTTGACTGTTGGTTGTCCTTGCATGCATGCAATGCATTACCTTCTTAAGTGTGTCGTCACTTAAGTTCGGGGTAATAATAATCAATGCTGTGCTATCTGCTTTCTTGTACTGATGTATTAATCTCTATTACTATTTCATCTTTAATTTAATGTAATAATCTCTTTGGTAATGTTTACGATTGTCATTGATGTCTTTTATGCTTTAAGTCAGTGCAATCTTTTATGCTGAATAAAGCCTAGTTTTCTCAAGGCTTTGTCTTTATTTATAACAATTTATTCAGCATAAAATGTGAAAAATAATTAAATAAAAATGTCTACGCAAGAACATAAAATGTCTCGATATCTTCGGCCGGATCGTTTCGACTTGGAACCTAATTCGACAGAGGCCGATTTGAAATGGTCGCACTGGCGATTTACTTTCGAAAATTTTCTTACTGCAGAATGCACTACCGAAACCAAGGATTCCATGAAGCTAAACGTCCTGGTAAATCATTTATCTCCGACAGTGTTCTAGTACATTCGAGGTGTCAAATCGTATGACATCGCTATGAAAACTTTAGAAGAGATCTATGTCAAACCTAAGAATGAAATTCTCTCAAGACATTTACTTACAACCCGCACACAAAAACCTGAAGAAACTGTGAGTGAGTATTTCCCAGCACTAAATCTTTTGTCACATGAATGTAACTATACCGCAGTGACGGCGGAAGAACACCGAAGTCAATCCATACGTGGTGCATTTATCGCAGGGATCGTCTCACAAAAGATCAAAGAAAGACTTTTAGAAAAGTTGACCTTAAATTTAGATGAAGCTGTCAATTTGGCGATTTCTTTAGAGCGCTCTGTGAAGAATACTCACATAATGTCCAATAAAGCATTATCTCTAAATGCCTCAACTGGAAATGAACTTGACCTTAACGCAACCACAAGTTCAAGAGTTTCGAACCGGCGTTGTTTCTTTTGCGGCAGTAAATTTCTACATCAGAGGATTAAATGTCCAGCATTCAAAGTTAATTGTCAATTGTGTTCGAGGAAGGGACATTGTGCAAGTGTGTGCAGAAGCAAGGAACCACTGACGATCAATATCAACGTTGATAGGATGTTATCTACTGATTCGGAAAATTCAACTGCAATATTAGCCGCTTCCACGAGTAGTTTGAAGAAGGCCACTATCCCTATCACTATAAATGAATATAGGGCTGATACTGGGAGTTCGGTGAATTTCATAGATAGAAACCTAGCTCAATCGCTTAAACTAAAAGTAAAGCCGTGTCAACAAACAATTTCGTTAGCATCACTAAGTCATGTATCTTTTGTTGAAGGAGTCTGCCATGCTACACTCAAAATAGACGAAAATCAATATCAACAACAACCTCTTCTAATTGTCAACAATCTTTGCGTGGATGTTATTGTGGGTCATGATATACTCAAAACCCATTCCAAGTTAGAATTAAAATTCGGAGGCAGCCGGCAGCCGGATTTGCAATGTGATGGAAGCCTCTCTACCTCCTGCTACTCTTTTTAGTAATTTATCGTATGATATCAGACCGATAGCAATACGCTCGCGCCGATATAGCAAAGATGTTATTGAACCAAGTACTTCGCCGTGGCGAGCCCAAGTCCTTGTTGCAGGAGGAGGTCATCATAGAAAAATAATGGTCATTAATTATGCGCAGACCATTAATAGATTTACGGAACTCGATGCTTTCCCGTTGCCTAATATGGAGTCTATAGACTTTAGTCAAATTGACTTAAAAAGTGCATATCATCAAATAAGTATTCTTTCAAGAGAAAAGCCATATACAGCTTTTGAAGCGAACGGTAAACTTTACCAATTTACCCGTATCCCATTTGGTGTAACAAATGGGGTAGCTGCCTTTCAACGAGCTCTTAGCTACGTGATCGAAACTGAAAAATTTAAAGGAACATTTGCGTATTTAGATGACATCACAGTTTGCGGCAAAACAAAGAAGGATCATGACGAGAATTGGTCGAATTTCATGAAAGCGACAGCTAAATATAAACTTACGTTAAATGAGCAAAAATGTAAATTGTGCAAAATAATGTCATCAAACCTGATCCCAACCGCCTGAAACCATTGATGGATCTCTCCCTTCCACAAAATGCCTCGGAGTTAAAAAGGGCACTAGGTCTCTTTGCTCATTACTCAAGGTGGATACCAAAATTTTCTGACTAAATCAAACCATTATTAGAAATTTGTACATTCCCTCTTACTGGAGTGTCGCGTACACGCTCGACGAGAGGACGTTTGTTAAACAGTTGCTACCAAGTAAACGGACTCGATCAATTATTTACAAAACATTCAACGTAGAAGTATTCTAATTAATAATATTATCCAAAATAAAAAATCACTATTTTTTATTTTGGATTTGGAGTGTAGAAAATGCAAGCTTTTTGTTTCTGTGACAAAGGATGATATAATAAAGTGCAAAGGTCAATGCGAGTCGGTATTCCATAAAAAGTGCATAAAAATATAAAACAATTTTTACAATATGAAATCTGTGATGAGTGCAAACAAAAAGAAGGGAAAACGCCCATCAGTAAGGAAGGTGCGCCGACTAACATAGGGAATATTTCCTCTGAAACTATCCTCTTGGATATTAACAAAAAACTGGATATAATATATAAGCTCGAAAAACGTATTGAGGAATTACATGAAACAGTAGATTTTTATGCTGAACAATATCAGAAAATGATGGAATTTAATACGGAGACAGAAAGGAAATTAAAGGTGATGGAGCAGAAGAATATATACTTGGAAAAATGCAATGGTGCCTTAGAGGAACGTATACAGTATTTGGAGCAAAAGGAAAGAGAAACAAAGGTGGAAATTATGGGACTTGAGATGCATGGAACTGAAAACATACAGGAAATTATAGAAAAGGTAGCTAATATACTAGAATTGAATGCAGAAGATATAGAAGAAGCAAGAAGGGTGGGTAGAGAAAAAAATAAAGGAGGTAAGCCGCAAGCTGTAATAGTTAAACTTCGCTCAAAAACAGCGAGGGATCGATGGTTAAAAGTTCGTAAAAATACCCCTACTACCGGAGATATATACGGCAACGAAAGCTCACAGCTTATTTATATTAATGAAGATTTACCCAAATAGAAGCGAGAAATATTCTGGGAAACCAAAAATCAACTAAAAGGGTTCTATGACTTCATTTGGGTACAAAACGGAAATATATTGGTAAAAAGAAATGAAGATGAAAATAAAATATATAATATCAAAACATTAAAAAGTATAGAAGTACTTAAATACAAAACAAACGCAGCGACATCATGTATAGTGCAATATAGCACGGCATGTACACACTATATGATTTTATATATACTACAAACTTTAATGAATAAAACAGAAATAGAATCAGAAATACTATTTAAAAGGTACAAAAAATTTTACCAATTTTATGGGGAAATGACTGATGGATATATATATATATATGATACATTTAAATATAAGATCTATGAGAAAAAACTTTAATGAACCATAAAGGTTCTACTAAGTCAATCAAAGAGGCAAATAGATATTATAATTTTGTCAGAAATAAATATAAAACAACAGGAAGTAATGATATATAATATAAAAGGATACGATATTTATTCTCATACTAGAGAAGAAAGAAGAGGTGGAGGTTTAATAATTTATACAAGAAAAAACTTGAGCACTACTATGAAAATAATAAATATTGGGTCGGCAGAAGTTGTACATGGAATAATAACTTCAGAGAAAGCATGCACGCATATTGTTGCTATATATCGGCCACCTAATAAGAACAAATTACAATTTATCAGAGAAATTGAGATTCTTATGAGAGGTTTTCAATATACAGACACCGTATTTGTCATAGGAGATATAAACTTAGTCATATTGGGAAATAAAATAAATCCCACCATAAACAGATATAAAAACAGTTTGTGTGTATGCGGCCTGCAGAATGTTATACCGAATACAGAGGTAACGCGGGAAGCGGTAGTGAACGGGCGCCGTGAGATGTCCTGCTTGGATCATGTATGGGTGCGAACGAGACAGACTCGCGGGTACTGCGTGAGCGTCGCTGCGTACATTATTGACTGCTTCATATCGGATCATCACATAGCTGGTATTTGTCTAAGCACATGTGACAAAAGGTATGAGTGACAAAATACAATACAAAAAAGATAAAGTGAGTGTATTTGGTCAATTGCGTTACTCATTGTCTCAACGTCAAGTTAATGATGGTTTAGTATTGTATGACTGGAATAAACTTAACGGATTAAACTGCCCCTTAGTGTTATATGATCATATATGCAATGTGTTCAAGAGTGTGTACGAAAATAGTCAGAAGTTACAGGTGTTAGGTAAGAAAAATCTATTTAAGCAACCGTGGGTTAATATTAAATTATTAAAAATGATTGAAAAGAGGGATAAATTGTTTCGTATATGGAAAGCATCTCCTAAAAACATGAATAAGCGGTTAGATTATACGCTGTGTAGGAATAAGGTAAATAAGTTGATTTTTTATGCAAAAAATAAGTAAAGAAGGGGTCAAATAACTAATTGTAATGGTGATTATAGGAAAGTATGGGCGCATATTAATGAATGGACTGGACAGGTAAAGCCAAGTTTAGATAATGTAATAATTAAGCACCTAGGAAAATCAGACAGTATTTCCAATATTTGTAGTAACTTTACGACAACTTTTACAAAGGAAATATTAGAAATTAAACATTATTGTAATATTATAAAATTTATGGACAGAAAAACATACGTAAAAGAAAGTAACGTCACATTTAGATACAGGAAAGTGAATGCACTACAAGTGGAAAGAATCATTAGAGACATAGATTGCCATAAGGTACCTGGGGTAGATAAAATAAGAGCACAAGACTTAAAATATATAAAACAGAAAATCTGTCCTTTACTAGCCAAATTTATTCATATGTGTATTG